TACTTAGCTCTTGGCTTCAGGCATAAAAAACTCAGAGTTAAAAAAGGAAAATCCTTCGAATTCTGACTGGTCAATGTTCCTGATGACTTCCTGGTCGGGAGGTGTTAGCACGGGTGGGTGGCGAGTGAAAAACCGGTCGAAGTTTTCAGCGCTGCGTCCGCACTATGAGAGGGAGAAAAGAATGGATGGTGGGTGGGGCAGGAAATGGTGGGATGGGTTTGCACCAACCCCCTGTCGTGGCACAGCCACGTCAGGACAGGAAAAGGTGCAAAACACACCTTGTTAGTCACAGGGTGCTGGCATGGCATGGCATGGCACAGCCAGGGACTGGCACAGCCCCAGCGGTGCCACGGGAAGCGGCTGCAGCAGGAATGGGATGGGGTGCAATGAGAACAAGGGCCCTGGAACTGCCCAGGCTCTGGGTTGTGATTCACTGGACTAACAAGAGCAGTAGTTCACATCAGTGGGTGCCAGGTCACTGCACAGCTCCATCCCAGGCTCAGTTCCTGCCTGTCACACGTCACATCCCCACAAACAGCCTCCTCTGCTCCAAGGGCTGGGGACTCTCCCTCCCCTCACACGCAGCCAATGCTCTCTGGGCCCTGTTTCCTCCAAGAAGCTGCTCAGCCAGCAAATCCCAGTCCCTCAGGTCTCTATCCCATTGCCCCTGAGAGAACACATGCTCCAAGTGCTGCCACAATCTTTCCTGGTGTTTAATTTTCATTTGTTAAGTAAACAGATTTGCAATTTTAATAAACGTCAGACTAAATTTAATAAAATATTAACGACAAATACATGTAAACTTCAACATTTCCCATTCCCTCCTCTGCTCAGAGGTTTCAGGGAAGACAGTGTGAAAATCCATCAGCCCCCATGGCACGTTCCTTTGGCAGCTCTTATATGTCCTTATAGCACCAAGTGAGAACATTCTTCTCAAACCTCTAAAAAACAGCTCAGTGGGTAATGCTTGAGTCGATTTAACCTCAGCCTGAGCCCATCCTTCCAATCCCATGGTTCCCCCTCAGGTTTGTATGGCCACATCTTCACATCTCTTGTCTGGCTTTGTTAACCTTCTGCTCCCAAAAGCGACTCCTGCCCACAGCCATGAGCTCAGCCTGGACACGAGTCCAGCCCTTCTCCCCTCCTGCACCTCTCCTGGGCTGTGGCATCCCATGTGCTGCAGCCCCAGCCCCGGGGACCCCGCAGGAGCCTTTGGTGGGGCTGTTGGACAGCCTAACACCTTCCCAGAGCCATCCTATTAACATCAAACCAGCAATTAAACCCTCCAAATGGGAGCTGCCACTTCCACAAAGCCTGGGGGGCCAAAGGCAGGACACGAGGAGCCCAGCTGGGCTTTTCTGGGCCACCAGTTCCCCCCGAGCACTGGGATAACACAGACCCCCAGCAGGATCCCTGGGAAAGCTGCAGAGCTCCAGCCACCAGCCCAGGGACACCACACCTGGCAGGGGTTACCTGCCCCTGCCATCAACCCCAACACATCCCGGGAGCCTTCCAGAGCCTTCCAACCCCACTGTCATTCCCTATTAGCTTCAGAAGACCTCAGTGCAGACACTCAGGGCAGCTCATGTGCAATGTCTGACAGCACCAGATGCCTTTTGGCTACAAAGAAATGTGCTGACTTAAAAAAAAAAGTATTAAAAATAAAAAAAAAAAATCAAATGAGCAACCCCCTCAGGAAGATTTAAAAATTAATCCTGACGAGATGCTACCAGTTATTGTAATAGAAGGCACAAATATATTTTAATATGCATATTGGCAAGCAAGAATTTCTAGCTATCATGCAATAAGTTAAGTATATGTGGATGGAAAATCTGAAAAGTTGCATCTATCCATAGTATTTCCTGTCCTGCTGTGTGGAAATCGTGGACTTTCTATTTGGATATAGATAAAATGGATGGACAAAATCAATACTTTAAAGCTGAAAATTAGGTTTACAGAAGTCACATTCAAGCCTATCCCTGAGGTCTGAAGGTGGTGACCCTGCCCTGGCTGTTCTCACTCCATGTCCCGAGACAGCTGGGGGCTCTGGAAAGGGAGCAGGGTTATTCCAGCCCAGCTGGAGTTCCAGACTCCAGGTTTGACCCACCCCCTGTGATAAGGGAGAGCAGGAAGGATCTGTGCCACTCTCGGCAGCAAATGGTCTCTATCTGCAGGAGCACCTTCTTTACAGCTTCCTAAATTAAGTTCCATGTTATTGGACAGGAGATGCCATGTGAATTTTTACATTTATCTAAAGCCACCTTGTGAAAAATCTGCCTCCTTTTAGTTTGATATTAATGTACAGGCATCACTCCATCCTGACTGGAGAAAGGGGGAGGGTGGGAATTTATCTTACATAAATCCCAGCGTGTCCTGTCTAATATTTATAGCCAGCACAGAATGGCTTTTCTTCCTGAGCTGCAGAAATAAACCTGTCAGCTCCGAAGATGGCCTTGTGTTTTATCACTTTCCTGCTTGATTTCAAATAGAGACAAAAGGCATAATAAAATATTTTCCATTGATCCCTGGGATGCAATCAAGGACCATAAGAAGCCAAGGATGCTGCTGCCACCAGCCCTTGCTCCCAGTACCAAGGAGAGGTACAGCCACAATCCCACTGGCCTTGCAGGCATCTCCTGGGCAAGTCTGACCTTCCTGGTGCTGCTCTGGGTCAGGAAAATTGGCTCCTTGTACCCCAGGGAGGATCAGGGCTTTTCTGGCAACTGTGTTTAGGGAGATTTGGGTCACAGCAGGAACTTGGGGCCAGGCTGAGCGTCCCTGTGCTCATCAGGAGGGATGATGGTGCTTTGGGATGCTCCAGCACATCCCTTGATCCCTGCTGCTGGCAAAGGGAGCATCTGCTGCAGGGGCTCCTGATATAGGGCCCTGCCTTTCATCCAACTCCTATGGAAAAAGCCAAGTTTCTGCCTAATGTACTGAAAACAATGGCTGATTAGTCTGGGGAATCTCAGAGAAAGTCTTTACAGGACCCTGGGACTCCCAGAGCAAATCCTGACTGGATTACCAGAGGAGATATTTAACCTTAGCACTTCCACCTGCCCACTGTCAGCCCCCTGAATCCTTAAATCCCACCTAATTAGGAAATTACTTATGCAAACATTGGAACTCACCTCGTACAGACTGAACTAAGGCTACAAAACCCCACATGCAGGGAACCAGCCTTTTACACACCCAGGTCTATAAATGGCATTTCAATATTAATTAACTCAAGGCAGCCAGGGGAAAATTAATTTATGCAATTAAAAATTATTAGATTAAAAGCCGTTTTTTTAACCCCCCCATCCTGTTGTAAGTAATCCTGGGCTCTGCCATGTGATTTCAGTACTTTCAAAATGGGACTTTTCAAATCACTAGGCTTTATGTAAAGTAAAGGAGTAATTAGATACCAAAAACAATAATTATCTCAACGAGAGACAGGGAGAGCAGAGAAGTGTAAATACACTGCCAGGGTAACTGCAGACCCAGGGAAGGAATTGTTATGCACCAGCCAAAGCAGGGAGCAGCCAAGCACAGCCCCACGTCAGAAGCACCAAAGACAACCCAGCCCCTGATCTGTCTCGTTCCTGACTCTCTGATAAAGGTTAATCAAGCACAAAGCAACACATGAGCTCTTGGGAATTCACTTCCAGCTCCGGGCACGGAACAGCCCAGCCAGGCAGGGGCTGCAGCCTCCATTTCCCTGTTGGGGTACAATGATTGAGGGTTTTGGGAGGGGTTTGATGCCCTCCCCAGAAGCAGGGCTGGGCAGGCACAGTGAGCCCTCCCCAGCAGCCCTCTGTGCCCTCCCAGTACCCCCCTCAAAACTGCAGGGATGCTACAACATCAGGGAAATGTGGCTGCTGCAGAAGAGACAACAAGCAAGGGTGCCTGTGTGGAGATGGGGTGTGGATGAGGAACTGAGCCACCAGCTCAAATCAAACATGAATTAATGACACTTCTGATAAGCAAAATGATGCTCAAGACAATTGGAATGGGGCTCTGCTCCTCTTGGCTGGTGTTCCTGGGGCTGAGCATGGGCTGGATCAGGGGATGGCTGGGGGCAGACACCCAGCCCTCATTTGTGTGTTATGCCTTATTTTGAGGCTCGGGATACAAACAATCCCTGCAGCCTGACCTTTATAGACATTAATTTATTTTTAAAAAAAAGAAAAGAAAATAGACTTAAGCCAAGGGGAAGAGCCAGGTCAGCACCAACTCCTCTGCAGCAGTGCTCAGCCCTGGTGTGACTCCTGAAGGTCACAAACACGCAGCAACATCTCCTTTGTCACCCCCCAAACACTCCATCAGTGCCCAAACCCCACTCCCGCTCCTGCTGCTCCGCTCTGCACTCACTGCTGGCATGGAAGAAACAGCTTTTTGCAGCACAGAGGCACTGCTGGAGAAATATCAGCTATCAGCAAGTACCTGAGTTGTCTTAATCCTCCCTAAATCCCAAATCAGCTGCTGTTAATCTCCCTGTCCTATCAAACGGGGAATTTTCCCGGCGCCAGCCGCTGGGTGAAGCGACAGCCGGCAGCTTAACCAGCCCCTCCCCAGGGCCGGTGTCAAAGGGATTTTTAAAGAAAGAAGACATTTAAAGCAGGACAAAATTTGCACATTTTAAAGCAGAAGAGCAGTAAGGAAGTGCTTTTGATGGAATTCAGTTGTTTTTCACTGCAAAACACCAAACACCAACGTTGTGCCCCAGTCCAGGGCAGGCGACACTGGGGACCTGCTGGGGAGGAGAGGGACAAGGTAGAGGGGACACAGCAGCTTCACTGGAAAACAGACACAGAGAAAGGTGGGAAATGGCAGGAGCTACGGATTTACCTTTGTGCCTCAGCATCCCTGACACAAAGGTCCGACCCCACCCCCAGAAAAATCACGGGGTGCACAAACAGCCCCAACCCCTTCGCACTGTTACACTCTGGTATCAAAGTTAACGCTGTCCTGGTAACACTGTTCCTACACAGTCTAATGGCTTTAAGATCCCCTTCCTTCCAAAGGAAAGGCAAGCAGGCAGCTATCCAGACCCCTGGATAACCATCCCAGCTGCTTCCCAGCACCTGGGTCTCCCCATTTCCGAGGCAGGCAGGGAGAACAGATTATCCCTCTGCAGATGTGGGGACAGCCTGGGCCACCAGGCACAGAGTGGAAATGAGCAGCTCTGAGGACAGGACCTCCCTGCAAAGGCATCATTGCCAGGAGTGAACTTGGTAAAAATATCTGTCTGAAACCAAAACAAGCAGCCCCAAATGTAGGCAGGGCATGGCTGGCAGCTGCCCAGGTCAGCACCCCTGCCCCACCTGTGCCACGTGCTGGAGGGAGATGGGGCTGTGGAGGCTCCGACACGGCCACCAAACGGGTGGATTGTTCCTGTTTGATCAGTCAGAAAAGGAGCTGTAGGAGGGAGAGCGGCTGGAGCAAAGAGGCATTGAGAGGGAGCAGAGCTAAGGGCGCTGAGCACCCTGCACCAAACATGGACTCCCTCTCCATGTTTTCCCTGAAAGCAGAGCTTTTCCAAGCACAGAAATGAACAGAATAACTGTAAAGCAGAGGAAAAGCAGATGTGTATGAGGCAGTGGGACAGGGGAGGGTTCAGGTAAATACATGGAGCACCCCTGCACTCCCAGTTGTGACCCAGGATGACGGATTAAGGGAGCATGGAATGTCCCCACTCTCATCTCAAATATCAGCCATGGAGATCAGATTAACTGTGGATTCAGTTCTCTGTGAGACACCAGTGCCCAAGTAGGGTACAGCAGCCAAGAGGCACCTGGAGGAAGCACATGAATAATCCCAAGCCTTAAGGAACTGGAGCACCACAGAGAGCCTTGGACATGGCTGTGACCCTGCCAGTCCCACCAGTGGCAAGGAGAAATAGAGAAAACCAGGGAGAGACATCCCTGTTCCTGAGCCTACACAGTCATTGCTTCCTGCACATCCTCTCTGGGGGAGGGCAGGGAGAGCACAGGGAGAGAGGGGATCACACAGAGTTTGGAGTCACAGAGCAGCCACAGCACTGCAGGCAGGAAGACCCACTGTGGGGTTCAGGCTGCACCCCTGCACTGGTGTTACATGGTCAGATGTCGCTCCAACGATGGCTGGACAAGGAGCAGTCAAGTATTCCCTTCTCTTTTGACAAACAGGTTTCTGATTGCTCCTGCCTCCACCTCTGTTTGGCTCTGGCAGCTCATTCCCCCCAGGCTGCACTCCCAGCACCTCTCTTGGGCAGAGCCAGGCAGGGCTGAGGGAGAGCAGCCAGGCAGGATCCCCTCACCACAGGGCTCCCTCCACCTGCGAGCCAGGCTCCAGCTTTCCACCTTGGAGAGACACTGTGGGGTCAAATTCAGCTCCACTGCCCTCTCAGGCAGGCTGAGCCGACCTGGTGCTAAAATAAAGTTGAGATTAAAGAAAAGAGAGACCTGGTCAGCTTGAGAAGAAGGGAGGAAAAACCCAACAGAGAGACTGAGCCAGGATGACAGACAGACAGTGCTGCAACACGAAGGGATCCAGGAGCTGAACATGTGGAGCTTCCATCCCTGCAAGCCAGAGTGGGACCAGGCATCCCCAGGTTCTCCTGCCAGCAGAGCTCTGACACGTGCCAGACCCCAGGAGAACTGATCTTCCAGGCAGACAGAGAAACGGCACCTCCAGGACGAGCAGCACCTGCCCGTCTGCCCTGTGTCCCCACGAGCGGGAGCAACCCTGGAGGAGAGCCCGGGCACACGGGAGGGCAGGAGAGGGGGCACGGAACACTTACAGCCTTTGGCTTGAAGGGGGGCTGGATCTCCTTGCGCTCCAGCTTGTCCCAGTCGATGTAGCGGAAGAAGGCGTGTTCCTTGATGTCCCGCTCCCCCTCCGGGCCGCAGCCCAGGCGCTTGGCGGGGTGCTTGGTCATCAGCTGGGGGGGAGCAAGAGAAGACACGGTCACTCACAGGGTGTCCAACTGCTTCCCACGTCCCCAGGGAGCTGTGATGTCCAGCTGGACAGGCAGCACCATGCAGCTGCTGCCCCGGGACACCCCAAGTCAGGGTCTGTACCCCAGAGGGGTCCCGTCTGCTCCACCTGCTTTTGGGGCTCCAAGCAGAGGATCGAGGGAGAAGCCAGAGCAGCTCCAGGGACAGGGAAGGTTGACAATGGCTTATGAAAGCAGGTGGCAGGTACACAAGCACTGGCAGGATGGGCACACCCCCTTTCCCTCTGGGAATGAAACTGGTTCACCAAGAAACAACCTCAGGGTGCTGGCAGAGCACCCCACGGTGCTGCAGCCTCTCCTGCTGCAGTGGGGGGCAGGACGGGAGCAGAGCTGCCTCTACTTGGTACAAACTTCTCAGCATCTGCTGAATTAACTCTAAAACCCACTGCCCATTCAGGATGAACAATCTGCCCTCCAAAACTTTCATCAGCCCTCCTCCAGCAGAACCCTCATTCCTCCAGAGCTGCGGCAGCACAGACATGAGGTGGATTTCTAATGAAAGAGTCAGAAACAGTCCATTAATGTTGTTTATCATCTAAACTTCTCTTCACTGGCTCAGTAACAGAAAGGGGCCCCAGGAATTAAGGGCAGCTGTACAACATTAATATCCTGGGGCAGGGTTTGAGCCACGTTCAGAGATCAGATGGAGATTCCAGAGATTCACAGGACATTGATAAGGATGGAGAATATGAGCTATATACCTGCAACAAAAGCACTGCTTTATTAAAAGCAAGGCAGTTCAAACTGGTCCCAGGGCTGTGCAGAGGTTGCAGGAAGTCTGACTCTGTGTCCCAGGGCTGGGGGAGCCTCTGGGAGGAAAAGGAGATGCCAATGCTCCAGCCAGAGAGTTGAGGAAAGGGTTTCAGAAGCAAGCAGAGAAGCTGTGGCTGCCCCAGGCCTGGAAGTGTTCAAGGCCAGGTCGGATGGGGTTTGAAGAAACCTGGTCTAGTAGAAGGTGTCCCTGCCCATGGCAGGGGGTTGAAACAAGATAAGCTTTAATGTCCCAACCCAAACCATTCTAGGATTTTCAGACCAAAATAAGCCCATCAGCCCAGGCAGCCATTGGCAGCACCCACCACCCCCTGGGGATCTCACAAGCCTCTGCCAGGTCTCCATCCAGGGAGAGCTCCTCTGCCTGGGGTGCAGGTGTTGGATATGAGTCAGTCCTGCCACCCCTGATGGTACAAAACAAACTTGCTCAGGGAAGTTGCTCTTTAACAGCAGTGCTGCAACAGGGTGCTGAAAGCAAGGAAAACTCCGGGGAAAAAAAACCCCAGAACCCTAAAAAGACAAACTCCAACAAATATGAGGCAAGAGCAGAGGCATCAGCTGCTCTGTGAGCAAACAGCTCTACCTCCCTGTCCCCCAGCCGTGATGCTATCTGCAGCTGGGAGAGTGATGGAGCGCGGCTTCCCTGGATCAGCATCCCCCTGGAAAGCCCATCTGCAAACAGTGAGGGCCTGGCAGGCTACACAGGCTGGACCAGGGATTTTCCAGCCTCTGCTCAGGAAGAGGATGTGACTGGCATCAGCATCAGCTTTGCAGAGCCTGTCTCTGTTGGAGCAGCCACGCTGGAGCATGGCCAGTGGGCCCAGGAGGGAGGGCACAGGGGGCCAGGTGGCAGCAAAAACAAAAGCAAGGATTTTTTTCTAACTCGTTTTTTGTTAATAACCAAGTTTCCCTTGGCATTGCAGCACACAGCCCTTTATAAAATAAAAACCCAACAACAAATCTCAGAGTAAAAAGCCTGAGAAGGTGGTAGAGGTTACATGTCTTGGCCTCTTGAACATGTGGGGCAGCAGCACGGACAGCAGCTGTGATGGGCTTTTCTCAGGCACCAGCACCAGGGGAAACGGCACCCAAAATACCTGTAAATATTCCCAAAATGCTGCAGAAAATGTGCCATTTCATGCCTTTGCTACCAGGCAGAGATTAAAGAGGGAGCTGATAGTCACAGACAATCTGTTCCCCTGGAAAGGGCTGATTTGCTCAGGCACCATCAAACCCCTCCATATGGGATGGAAAAGGCTGAGGGTCTGTGCCGGTGCCCACGCGCTCCTGGGGCCAGGACAGGAGTCTGGCTCCTAATAACCAAACCTGAGCTACCTGCCCATGGAAACAGCAGCTCCAAGATCAGCCTTCAGAAACAAATCCGAGCTGACAGCACAGGAGGGAAATGCTCCGTTTGATCCGCTAATTGCTGCTGACTGGAGAGTCCTGGAGCCACGTGCCAGTGAACTCTCCAGTTTCCTTCCCAGCCAAGGATCCCTGATTAATGCTTGTCTCTGGGCTCAGGCCGGTTCCAGGCTTTCAGGATCAAACACGTTTCATCTCTGAGTGGTGCAGGGATGACTGGCACCAGCACACTGGAGTGAAACCATGAGGGAACAAGGAAATGCGTTTGGGGACCGCGGCAGTGCAACACCAAACCTCTCACAGGTAAGGGCAAAGGCTTCTCCAGTGGCTTGTTCCCTGCACTAATGTAACACCAGGTTTGTGCCCTCCTGGCAGACCTACCACACACCAACACAACCAGCTCAGCCTCAGAGCAGCTCACAGAGATGTATTCCACTGTGTTCCAGGGCAAAACGTACATACTTAGTTCCCAGCTTACTAAAAAGTTCTTAAATCCTACACAGTTTTAATTCAACTTTCGGGTGTAGCAGTTTGGTGGTGGCAAAGAATGTCAGGAGGTTTTGAAACAACAGTAGTACAGAGGGAACCACCACTTTGGTACAAAAAAAATCTGGGAATTTATAGAGAATCAACCCTCGGTGCGTGGCCAAATATCCTCCCATGCAGCCTCCCATCTCCAGAGCGAGAAAAGCCATCGCAGCTACACCCAGCAGACGCTGCAGTCACGGTCCCTGCTCATCTATTTACAGCACCTACACTGTGACTGATGCAGCAGCAAACAAAGCTGACACTGAGCCTGGTCCCTGTTCCAGCCTCAGGGACAGCGATGCTCAGCAGCACCAGGCACCTCCCGCCTCCTGCCTGACCAGGAACACGCTGGATTCTCCCTTTACATCCCCAACATCACAGCAAGAGGATGAGAGACGGTGACAGGGTCAGTGGGAATCCCCCTCTGACCACCTGTGTGGTTTCTAAATTAAGGACTTGATTTTCCCACATTCTGCTGACGGTGGTGGGGCAGCACCCCTCCCTGTGCCCCATTCCAGGTGGGAACACCTGCTTTTCCCCACAGGACAAGTGAATATTCCTCTTTAACACCAGCTCAGAATCCTGGCAACGCCAGGAAGAGGCTTTGAAATGCCGCAGTGGGAGCGTGAAGCGCAGGATGTGTCATTTGTAGATAGAAACACTATTTTGAGAGAGAGAACATTCAGATATTTTCAATATTAACTATTATAAGCAAACATTTCTTAAATTCCTACACAAACACATATTTATAGCAGTGTGTGGCACTTGGGGGTGAGATGAGGCTCAGTCCCAAGCACAACAGAACAACATCAGGACCTCGCCAGCCTTTATCCATCACATCCCAAATTAACTCAGGCTGCATTTAAGTCATGACTAGGCCCAGTCCATGGGGAGGTCGGGATGCTGGGCAAGGTAGAGCTTCACTGCAGATTAAGAGACAGGATAATGAAAATACTGCCCTGACACCACAGAGATACCACCAGCACTGAGCTTCAGGTCATCTTGAAGGGTGACATCAGAGCTAAACAGAAGGATGAAAGTGTCTGATCTTAGAAGAACTATTTTGGGATCACGTTCACTTTCCCTGAGTGTCATTTTTCATTTCAGGCAAAGATTCATAGAGCTTCCCTGTCCTCACCTGATGGGGCACAGGGTCTCTGGGGATGCCCTCCCTTCCCACCTCCCAACCAACACCCCAATTCCCTCCTGAACTTCACCCGAGCCCTCAGAGCAGCCCCTGAATCCCAGCTGTATCTCTGCTCAGTGTAACAGCACAGAGAGGATGTGGGTGTTATTTTTACCTGGTTTTAGTACACACACACAAATGACACAGGTTGTAGTTTTAGGAGTGGAGAACCCACCCGAGTGTCAGATCCCCTCGCACTGGGGAGCAGGGGCTGAGCTGGGACCCCCAGGTATGGAAGATCTCACTGCTCCCACTGCCCACACGCCCCCCCCAAGCCAGCAGAGGACCCAGCCCAGCCCTTACCCCTTTGCAGATGGCCACTGCCTCCTTGGACATGGACTTGGGGTAGGCGACGTTGTGCTCCATGATGGACTGGAAGAGCTCGTCTTCATCTTCTCCCTCAAAGGGGGCCTAGAGCAAAGCAGACACAGGTTCAGTGGCATTTCTGGGTCCCTAAGCTTCCATGTGCTGCTGTGGTCCTTGGCCATGGACCCAGCCCTGGCTGTGCTATGCAGGAATGTGAATCATCATCACAGTCCCTGGGGCTGCACCCAGAGTCGCCCCAAGCTCCTAAGAAAATGCCCCAGCTGTGTGCCAGCAGCATGGCAAATTCCACATCAGTGAATGCTCAGAATGGAATGTAACACAGCCCAGAGGAATCAATTAAAACTCAATTACCTGGCCAGCCAACATCTCATAGAGCAGGACTCCAAACGCCCACCAATCCACAGACTTCCCATAGGGCTGGTAAGCAATTATCTGCAAACAAGAGAACAGCAGGATTACACTCCCAGGTCTGACCTGGTGGCACAAGGCAAAGTGACTTCAAGCTGCAGCCCAGGTCACAAGGACAAGGTTGTTCACTGGGACATGTTTCAGCACTGAAATCCCTCGGCCGAGCACACTCGGAGTTCCTCCCACCTGCTCTTTACCAGCGCCCTGGGAGAGTCAGGTGTGAACTGTTCACATCATAAGGGCCTTTAAAAGGAAAGAGCACTTAGAAGAAATCCTCTGTCCTGTGAAGTCCCCACCTGCCCATTGGGGAAGGTCAAAGCCCAGCAGGTGAGGAACAGCTTTGTTCAGCAGGGATCACACACAGGGCTGTTCGCACGCAGGACCTGCCACCTTGGCATGCAGAGCTCTGGCTTGGAATAGGAAAAGTCCTAAAAATGGGTCAAGCAAATCACAGGACTGTTTTACCCCGGAGCCACGTTGGCCTGAGCACGTTGCAGCTCCCTAAAGGAGGAGGCAGGGAGCAGCAGAAGGGCCTGGGCTGGAGCGTGGTCACTGTGCCACAACCTTATTGCTATTCCCAAAGAGGAGGTGTGAGATCACTGACCCACTGCCAGCAGGCTTTAATGCCATTCCTGGGTGCCACAGTGATCTGCATCCTAATTTCCTATTTTCTGTTTTTCTTTTGGAAAAAAAAAGAATTAGAGCAAGGAGAAGAAAATAAGAGTTAAAGTGAAAACACTCAGGCAAATACTCAGAGAACTGGTCATCTGTCCTGCTTTGAAGGAGCATTAATCACCCACAGCAACCAGCTCTGCACCAACACCCCCAGTATTAATCCTGGTGGGATGAGGGGATGGAACACATATTTGATCCAGTAATTGGAAACCTCACTGGCTGCAGCAAACACAACATGGTTTAGCACACAAGTGCATCGATGTCCTAACAAAGAGAATCTCTTTCTCTAAAATATTTACATGTATAAATATTAATCTCATTATTTCAAATTCAACAGTGACAAGATTTTAGAGGGATGTTTTTATGCGAAGGAAACAGACACTGGGAATAATTATGCCCCTGAATTTCACAATTGTGCCCATGCAGCACCTCATGGAAGTGTCATGTTTGACTCCATCCCATCAGTAATAACCAAATGCAAAGTCATTTTGGGGTGATCTAGAGCCATGGATGGAGAGTGTCTCCCCATCAGACACACGGCCTCTCACTGTGAACAGTGAGCTGGATAGATCTAAGGATTGCCACTTCACAGGGAAATATTATCCACTGGTAATTCCCTGTTTCCCACTGGTCATGTGCTGGAGGTCTCACACACAATGAGGGGCAAAGCTGAGTTCCTGAGCTTGCCTTTCCAGGAGCAAGGGAGTAGCCCATGGTGGTCTGAGTGTGCTAAGGGTCAGACAGGTGTGGAGCTGCCAGCAGGACATGGGAAAAAACCAAGAGAGGGAAAACACACTGCAGGGAGAGCAGCATGAGGATTTGCTGCACTTTGAGGGGGAGCAGGGAACAGTCCAACAAAGACACAGATCCAGCATCCCTGCTTCCTTAAGGTCAGCAGGAGATGGACAGTGCTGAGGGGATGAACTTCCCAGGCTGATAGTGAATCCCTTAATGTCCCTGTTTCTGCCCAAAGCAAGGCTGTGCCGTGGGGAGGGGCAGCAGGGAGGCTGCCAGGCCGTGCCCGGAGCAGTGGCCGCCCTTCCCAGCTCACCTCGGGCGCGATGTAGTCTGGAGTGCCACAGAAGGTCTTGGTGGTCACCCCGTCCCAGATGTTCTCCTTGCACATGCCGAAGTCTGCGATCTTTATGTGCCCCTCGCTATCCAGCATCACGTTGTCCAGCTTCAGGTCTCTACAGAGTGAGAGCAAACCCGTGACACAACGGACGACACGAGTCTCCCAGCTCCTGGTGCTCTGCTGGACTGCTGAGCTCCAGCTTTGTCTCACACCCCAGACTCTTTGCAGGGGAAATGAGTAATAATAAGTCAGAGATCTGTCAGGATGGAGTGTTTATTTTACTTTTAACCCACAGGAACACCATGCTGGGCACAGTGCTTTGAGGTGTATGATGGAAAATACTCATCTGGCAGGGGATGGATTGAATTGATTTTGGTTTTTTGCTCCTATGAAAATCAAAGTGCACTTAAAGCTCCCAGTGATGAAGAAGCCCCTATTCAGCACAAGTCCCTGTCTCACCTGTGCTCTGCTCCCCATGAAATACAAATCAGCTGTGTTTCTCCCTGATCCTCACCCACAGAATACCTGTTTGTGGTACCCAACTTCCCAGAAGCTCTGCTCCTTAGAACAAGCTGCAGGGATGGATCCAGCTGCAGAGCCTCGGATCCAACTCCCAGCCCCAACTCGGAGGTGGGTGCTCCAGCCTCAAGGACACTTCTGTAGCAAACAGTATGTTGGTGCAATTTCTACACTCTTGTTGGTTTTAAGGCTGCTTTTTCCAATTATCATGTCAGTGCTTAAAACCCCGACAGGCCAAAGGCAGATGGACAGGAGCTAGGATTCAGACTTGGAGGAAGGAAGGAAGCAGGGGCACTGGGGACTGACAAACTAAGAAATCTCTCTGCAGCAGAGGATGGCAAAAAACATCCCTTATGTCAAGTTTGCTCTACTTCTTTCATCTCCAGCATCTCCCTTTCCAGGGCACTTAATGGTATCTGACACTCATTAGGATGCTCTGCTCCACCCTGGGCTCTGGGAATTCTCCTGAGCAGGGAGGAGCAGTGAACACTGGTTTCAGAGCTAAACCAGCAGCCTCTGAGCCTGGTCTGGCACGTGGCAGCGACCCAGATCCCCTGGGTGCCCTAATCATACTGGGAATGGCAAAGCAGATGCAGTGGCTGAAGCAGAAGTGACACTCACACTGCAGAGCTCAGAACCAGCCACTGGCGAGCGCTTCCTCCAGTGTTAATGGTACGAGAGAGGTGCCCTGAGGGGCTGGGAGCTGCTCCAGGCTGCCAGCCAGCATTTGTGTTGTGTGGAGAGAAACACGTGGAACAGGGGCAAGAGAAAACCAGAGGTGCCTTCCTATAAACCAGGATAAAGCAGGAGCCTCCTCCAGGGGAGGGGAGGAAGGAGGAACCTGCTCACCTACCGATAAATGATGCCTTTGCTCTGCAGGAAGAAGAGGCCAATGGCTATTTCTGCTGCGTAGAACCTGAAATGGGAGAGTCAAAAGGAAGGCTGATAATTAAAGGAGATGAATCAAAATGAAAACCTTTCAAATCTGATCGCGGTGAATGAAGCATCTGAAGGCTTTCAGGAACACATCCTGCTCTGTCCAGCTCACAGGGGACAGGAGCCAAAAGGCACCAGTTAACACTCAGGTTGGCCATCCCAGCAGGGGAGCCAACACCCAGTGTCCTTTCGCCCCCCAGGGAGGGGGGAAGCCTCCAAAACCTCCCTGCCTTGCGCTTTCATTTACATAAATTTATTTATTTAGCTCAGTTATTTACAAGTGCAATGTACCTCAGAGGTGAGGTGGAGGTACCAGCATCCTTGGCAAAGACTTCTCCTGCTTCTTCCCAGTCCTGCTGTTTCCCCTCCCTTTCTGCCCAGGAATTGCACCACAAAGCCTGTGCCTTGGGCTCTATTTCCAGCCACATGACACAGATACATCCCATACCTACCCCAAAGGTGCCAAACTACTGCACTTACACTGCGTGGGGCTCCTTGAACCTCCCAACCTGCTGGATCTGGTACATCAAGTCCCCACCATTCACATATTCCATCACAAAATACAAGCGATCCTAAAGGAAAAAAGAAACAATTAACAACAGAATTATCAGAGCAGGGAACCTGCAGGGGCCAGAAACAAGGACTGAGGCGATGGGCAGCTCCAATCTGTATTTCCATGGCAATACAGTCATCATCCCTGTGCTCCCCACGGGGTGCAGGGGGCTCATGTTCATACAGAGCCCAGAAGTGCTGATTCCTTTGCAACACTCGGGGCTGAAGCTCTGCACCTCTGCAGACAGATCTGCTGGAGAAGGCAAGTGGAGGAATCCCTAAACCAGAGGATTTTCACTTCCCAGGAATATGTTTGCCCTTTTTCATGGAATCTGTTTTCAGAGAGTTGGTCAGGCAGCTCCTCGCTGGCATTTCCCCACACACTGCATGGCTTCAATTAAGGGATGCACAGGAGACATGAGCACTTCCAGTGGGGACCAACCTCCATCCATGCCCAGCATGACTTGGCAAAGCACCAGGAGGACGTGTGACATTGCCAGCCCTCTCCTGGGCCAGCAGTGCCGGGGCTGCACAGGTCTGCAGAGGATCCAGCTGCCCCTGATCAAGCTGGGGAGGCAGGAGGGAGCTGCACCCCTTCTCCTCACTCCTCCCAGCCTGGTCTGAGGGGCCACCTCATTTAACCACACATGGTTAGTTGAGTCCTGAGGAGTTCAGAGGTGCTCTGAGGGTTGGAGCCCCTCCGCTCTGGAGCCAGGCTGGCAGAGCTGAGGTGTTCACCTGGAGAAGACAGGGCTCTGGGGAGACCTGAGAGCCCCTTCCAGTGCCTAAAGGGGCTCCAAGAGAGCTGGGGAGGGACTTTGGACAAGTGCACGGAGTGACGTGTGCCCTTGACACACAGGAGCCAAAGGACACTCTGAGCTGGCCCCATCCCAGCTCATGGAAGGAAGGACGGAGGCTGGAGCACTGAGAGCTGCAGGTTGGCAGCTTTACATAACAGTTCATAATATTTCCTCATTTCCTCCCTAAATAAGCTTTGTCCTGCTTTTCAGACAGGAAGGACAAGGAGATCCAAAGAGATGCAGATGGAGCACTGCCATAAGAAGGGCCATGGAGGAACTGGGGTCATGAGCTCCAGCACTCCACAGGGCACAGCCCAGCCTGGAGATGCCCAGCCGGAGGAACTGGAGTCATTGGCTCCTGCCTCCTGGCACAGCCCACCCGGACAGGGGGCAGCACCAAAGGGAATTAAATAGAGCACCAAAGGGGCAATTGGGCTGTGTAAAACACGTGACACTGATGGGAGAGAAGGGCAAATTCAGTTTGGGGATTTTGGAGCCCCCCACTCCGTAAAGGACTGCCCTGCCAGCCCGCGGGGGAGGCACGTGCAGGCAATGTCACCTTGAGCAGGCAGAGCCACGGCAGCCAGGCTGTGACAGCCACGGGAGAGCAACGCTGTGCTCGGCTGCAGCTGCTTCCTAAATATATCGATCAGCTTCAAGAAGGAAGAATATTAAAAAGACGGTCTCTTGAAACAGCCAGCTGAGCTCTAAAAGCAGGAGCTGAGCTTTCCTCATTTGGGAGGGGAAGGGAACGCTGGTGCTTCAGAGAAAAATGCCATGAGTAAAGCAGGCAGATGGCTGGGCAGCCCACGGGCTGGGAGGGAGGGATGGATGGGCACAGAACGCTGTCCTGGCTCCTGTTGGAGGCAGAAAGGACGGCGTCTGTCCAAGTCTGGAGCATCCAAACTCACTGAGCAACAGCACAGTTCGGAGATGTAAATCCCACTGCAGAGCCTGGCATGGAGCCAGTGACAACCCCCTTTGCTGGGCAGACAAGGTGCAGCTCCCAGGCTCCTTCCAGTGCCCTTCCCCTAATTAACCACTTATTAACCTAATTACCCGTTTAGTCCATCCCCTGCCCGACCCCACACTGGAAATGAGTGGCAGCGCCAGGACAGCACTCACCCTCCACATCCAACCCCTTATCAGACACTAGGGAGAAATCCGTCCCTGTGAGGGTGGGGAGGCCCTGGCACAGGTTGCCCAGAGAAGCTGTGGCTGCCCCATCCCTGGAAGTGTCCAAGGCCAGGTTGGAGAGGGTCCCTGCCCATGGCAGGGGGCAGAACTAAGTGATTTTTGAGGTCCCTTCCAACCTAAACCATTCCAGGATTCTGTGCTCCTGTGATTTATCATCTCAATGTTGCTGCAGCTGCTGTGCCCTTTGTGCTGTGCCCCAGAGGGAACTGAGGTCACCAGTGAAGGCACAGCTCACCTGGGGACACCCAGGGACCTCTGGCTCACACCCTTCCCTGGAGCCCAGGATCTCACTGGGATCTTTCAAGGCAGAGCACCCCAGGACACGCCAGCACAGGCATCTCTTGCCCTTCAGCCCCAGGCAGGAGCTCTCTCTCTCATTGCTCATCTTCACTCTTTCTTTAACACAGATTTAGGGCTCGTGTCTCTCCCGAAGCCGCTGAGCCAACAGCCTCGGCTGAGAATTGTGCTCTGGACTGTGCTCCCAGAAATCAAAGTGCTTTGTGCCAGCATTTGATAATACACCCTGCTATACATTTTGATTACATTACAAATACGATTACTATTAAGCTACTATAGGTCTGCCAGGAATAATCCCGCGCTGACTCACTTCAGATGCCAGTGAGATGCTGTGTGAAATAGCTGCTCCTGCCACATTCTGATTACTGTGCTGCAAAGCCAGGCCGCAGGCTTTAAACACTCAATGTGTTTGGTAAATGAAATTTCTGGAATAATATTAAAATGTAATCCTCCTGGAAAGCATTGTCATCGTTCTAAAGGACTCTGCTGATTCCCTCTCCCGGCTCCCACTGACACGGGCCTGGACATTCTCATTCACAGGTTGCTCGAGGGCTGGGCAGGGATTGTGTTAAAGGTCCCCTGTCCCCCTCTCCACTCCTGACTCATACAAACCCAATCACATGCCCATTTCAAACTGGATTTCCTGTGGTTTGGATTAGGTTTCTCCCTTTACTCAGGGTTTTGATCACAGGGATGAGTTCTAGGAAAAACTGCAGCACTTGGCAATTGAATCATAAGGGACATTGTGGGCTGGGGGTGCCTGAGGGGCTGGGAAATCACTACTAACACCATGAACAGCTCCCTGATGAAAACATCTCAGGGGAGTGCAGCTATTGGACATTACACTCTCATTTCACACACTCACATTTTGTCATGGAGACACTTTTGCCAGAGAAGTGGACAAGCTGTGAGGTTGCCAAGGCAGAGAATACAGGGCTGCTTTGGCAAAAGCAGTGATGTACAGAGAATCAGGGAATCCCAGAATGGTCTGGGTTGGAAGGGACCTTAAAAATCATCCAGTTCTACCTATGCCATTGGTAGGGACACCTTCTACTAGCCCAGGTTGCTCCAAACCCCATCCAATCTGGCCTTGGACACTATTGCAATCCATTTGCCAAGGGTCAGGCTCCCAGGGCTCAGGGTCCGCAGTCCCTCCTGCCCCTTGCCCAGGGACAAGCTGTGGCACCAGCACTTACCATGGTCTGGAAGCAGGAGTGGAGCTGGGTCAGGAATGGAGGCTTCCCGGAGAGAGCCAGGACGCGTTTTTCCACCATCGTGCACTCCACATCATCATCCTGGATGACAACGTCCTTCTTCAAGATCTTCACAGCATAGAGCTCATCTGTGCCCTTCCTCTCCGCCAGCATCACCTACTCAGGGTGGAGGATAAGTGCAGGATCAAGGGAAATGTGGATTTTAAATGCCTTGACCTTAAATAGTTAAACTAATGGCTTGCTTATTATCCTGTTACAACCCTGAGAAGAGCTTCAGGTGCAAATGATGCAGAAAGCTATCAGGGGTATTGCTGAAAGCATTTAAGGACACCAAGTCTAATGAGTAACAAGTCTACTCCCTCACCACCTCATTCCCCAGAGGAGCCCATCCCAAGGGTTTGCTGATGTCTGAGCCCAGCTCAACCCCCAGCACCCCCAGCCCTGAGCCAGGGCCCAGGGCAGCACCCTCAGAGTGTCACCAGCAACAGGGGAGGCTGTTAAGAGTCTGAACACAGAATCCATCAAATTACAAAGTGGGAAAAATTTAAAGTGGAAAAGAGTCAGTCTATAGTGAATAGTAAGGAAAAAACCACACAATTTTCTCTGTTTCACCCTGCCCCCCAACAGTGACCAAACCCCACTGTGTGTGGGTCCATCCCCCAGCCAAAGCCCCTCCCAGCCAGAAGAATCCATCCAACCTCTCATTTCAAACCAGTGTCACCCATTTACAGGTTTATTTATTGCAGTAAATGGGATTCACTGCTTCTGATGGTGCAAATCCCCTGGGTTAATCCCATCAGCCCAGCGAGGGTCCCCATCCCGGCCCACCACGCTCCATCAGCCTAAGCTGCTCCTTGTGCTGCCAGCAACACAAACTGACTCTGAAACCACACTTTGCCTCCCATTTTCCCTCTTGCACTCTCTCATCACATTAGATTGGAGTGCTGGCTGGAAATGAATTGCTTTTCATTTGAAGGAGTCGGCAGAAATCCTCCAGTCACATCGGGAAAAGCAGCTCGGGGGTTTTGGAAATAAATTATGTGAAGTCAACATCAATAGGGTGGAACTGAAATGCTCTTCAGGCTGGGGCAGACTGGCAGAAGACACACGAGCGGGTCTTGAGATGACTTTTGAGGCTCTAAGGACAGCTGGATTAACCCTCTTGTGTTCCAGCCCTGGTACAGCTGCCTAGGGCAGGGGTGGAGTCCCCATCCCTGGAGGGATTTAACAGAGTGTGGATGTGGCACTTGGGGACATGAGTTAGTGGTGGCCTTGGCAGTGCTATGGGAAAGGTTGGACTCGACGATCTTAGAAGGCTTTTCCAACCTCAGTGATTCTGTGATTCTGTTCTATGACACAGCCCAAGGACCAGGGATGGCAAGGCAGGGACAAAGCCCGAGGACCAAGGTCTTCATTGCCCACCCACTTGTTTGAGTGAAAGTACCAGCGGGAGAGGGAACGGCCCCTCCCGAGCACACGCGGCTCCGGCTCGTTCCCGGCGCTTGGCCCTGGGGAGCTCGGCTGTCCTGGACACGCTGCCCGCCAGGATTAGCTGGGAATGGCGCTGGAGCTCCTCAGAGCCAAGTGCTCTGGAGCAGGTGCTGACATTTCCCTCTCCATCAGCGGGGTGGGACTGCAGTGACCACACACCAACTCATCTCTCACAGGGCTGGGCCGTGGGCTGGCGGCTCAGGGACCTCGGCAGAGCATTGATTCACTCGCTGGTGCTCGAAAAACACTGTGAGCCCAGAGCAGCTCGTTGTGCTGCTGGGACAGAACCCAGCAAGGCACAGGCACTGGGAACAGCTCTGGGCTTCACCTTTTCCTGCTACCAGTTCCCTGAGATGTTTGCAACAGCCCTTTGCACCACACACAGGCACGGACAGACGGACACCCTGCCTGCAGCCACGGAACAGTAACGACAGGACAAGGGGGAACGGCTTCACACTGCCAGAGGGCAGGGTTAGATGGGATATTGGGAAGAAATTCCTCCCTGGGAGGGTGGTGAGGCCCTGGCACAGGTTGCCCAGAGAAGCTGTGGCTGCCCCGTCCCTGCAAGTGTCCAAGGCCAGGTTGGACGGGGCTTGGAGCAACCTGGGCTAGTGGAAGGTGTCTCTGCCCATGGCAGGGGGTGGGACTGGATGAGCTTTAAGGTCCCTTCCAACCCAAACCATTACATGTTTCTCTGCCAGGGCAGCAGACACAGCTGTCTCACGTGGAGTCTGTACCTCTGCCCTCCCTTCTGATTCTGCCCAAACTGAACTGTTTTGGTTCATTGCCTCCATTTATCACCATTTTTACACAAGTTGAGCTTTACAAGGTGCTGTACACAGGTGCTAAAACCAGGGCTGATTTCTAAGTGATAAAAGCAGACAGGCTTTGCTGTTCAAAATTGGCGGAAAAGAAGCAACTGCTCCAAGAATAGAGTTTGTGGGAAAATTAAACCTGTTACCTGGGAGTAAGGGCATTATATACAATATTGTTATATACCGACCTGTCCTGCTATCCATAACCCTTTCAGAGGAAAGTTAACTAAACCAGGGAGTCTCTGAGCCTGGCATCTGCTGCTGCCCTGAAGGGACCTTGCTGGGGATGTGGCTCCCACCCCCCTGTGCAGCGAGGCAGAGGTTGGCTGGGGTACAACCACAAATGCAAAAAACTGCTCCAGGGCACACATGGGCTGTGAACGCTTCATGCAGCAGCTTCCCAGTGACACGACAACCCCCAGCACAGCTGAGCCAGCCCTGCTTCGCTGGGATGTGAAAGGCAAAAGGACCCTCCAAGCTGCTGAGAACCAGCAGGTGACACTCGGGGGACCCCGGGTGTGAAGTGTGTGCCTGGGAGTGCAGGGATGGTGGAAACCACCCGCTGCTCTAGCCCTCAGTCACATCTGGGCTGTGTTCCCCTCTCCTGTGTTAAAGAATCACAGAATCATTGAGGTTGGAAAAGACTTCCAAGACCATAGAGTCCAATTTTTGACTGATCCCCACCTTGTCCCCCAGCCCAGAGCACCGAGTGCCACATCCAGTTGTACCTTGGACACCTCCAGGGATGGGGACTCCACCACCTCCCTGGGCAGCCCCTTCCAATGCCTGACCACCCTTTCCATAAACAAATTCTTCCTGACGTCTTTCTGATGTCCTGATGTCTGGAGGTGTTCAAATACCAAGAGATGCAAACAGGCAAATGCCCCAGCACAGTCAGTGATGCCCCGACCAGAGCCATGCACAGGTTGTGGTTGATTATCACAGCACATGAAAACTGTCTTCCATTGCACTGGAATCCAGAACTGCAGCGACCAAAGGCTCCACCCTGCTCAGCAAAACACCACAAAACCCCCCAAAAGCCTGACAGCTCAAGAGCACAACAGATTGATTAGCTGCAAAAATATGAGCAAGCCACGTAATTTCCTTTTCCTCTATTTATATTACAGCAAAGCAAACCCAGGGTGGGCTGTGCCAAGCGCTGCCTCCCTCCCTGGGAAGGTCTCCCTGCCCATGCCAGCCCATGGAGTGCTGCCACCAGCCACAGTCCTGGGGGCTTGGTGGGACTCATGACCAGGGGAGCCCCAGGGAGATCCCAGAGCACCCAGGTGCAAACAGGGCCACCCTGTGTCCTGGGGCTGAATGCACCAACCCAGGATTCTGCACACCCAAGCCCCTATTTTCCAAACCAGATCCATTTTCCACCCCCTAAACTCTGCTGCCTGGCTCGGGGGACCTCCATCTGCCAGCACACTCGCTGGGAAGCAGATTGCATTCTTTTTTAATTTTTTTTTTAGTGCAGAAAAAAGCTGATATTTAACTTGATTTATTCCTGTAATATAGAGTATTGTTTGGGAATGCTTCAGCATAAAAACTGGAGATATTCTGAACATAGAAAAAGCAAGTTTGTTAAACTCCACTGAGGCCAACATATTGGTACTCCTGACCTGGACTGCCAGAGTGTGGAGAGAGGAAAATACCAAGCAGTAAATCTGAGATCCTGATGCCAAAGAGTTAACAGAGAGAGACAGAGACTCACTAAAATAGTGTGGTTATAGTCCAAGAGCCCTCACAGCCAGCAGGGACTGGGAAGAGAGAGGCTGGCAGCAGGCAGCCAGCACAGGAGCAGGCAGTGCCAGCCCTAGGAGGGAAGGCCACAGTGCCAGCCCTGGAGAAGGACAGTGATGCCAGGAGCACAGAGTGGGCTGCTGGGCATGCCAAGGGCTGCAGGGGCTGAGCCCGGGGCTCCCTCCCCTCTGTGCTCCCTGCCTGGCTCCCAGCACACGCCCTCACTGTCCCTGACCAGGAGCAGGCACAGACCCCTGTGCTGTGCCAGCCCGTGCCCCCGAGCAGGGGGATGCCGTGGGGAAGGGCAGGCACACGTGAGCGGGAGGCTCTGCCCGCAGAAACCAATGGTGCTGTTTTAATTAGCGCTAATTAGCATATTTATAACATGCTGTTCCAGGGAACAGTTTCTGTCACACATTCCCTTATATAAGCCACGGAGCCAACTGAAGAGTTTGCTAATGTTTCTCAAATTTAAGGAAAGAAGGCGGGGGGGGGCTACACGATGCACAGCCACAGTCTCCAGATGCCAGTGCTCAGTTTGAAAGGGATGAGGTGTTGGGAGGGAGGGAAAGGGGACATGGATATATTTCTGTGTGAGCAGCATGGACACGAGGCTTTCCTGCTTCCCAGGATACCAACCCACAGCAAAGGGGTCCGACGGTGAGTTCTGGGCAGGAACCCCAGGCTGATGCTCTGGGTGCTGGGGACCATCAGGACCTCCCTGTTTTCCACCTGTCAAAGGTGTTTCCATGGATCCCTGAGCTCTCCATCTCCAGAGAGGGAGCAAACACCCAAACAGAGGCTGGGACCTCCCCAAGCTCCACGGCCATCAGGAGAAGGCTGAGGGAGGGAAGGGGTGTCCCTGCTGCACCCCTGTGCTCAGGTGATGGGGCAACATCACTCCCCTGCACACCCTCCTCATCTTCACTACCTGCCCAAGGAATGAGTCTGTTGGCAGAGCAATATTTCCTGCAATTAAGAGGGAATTCACTAATGACAGTGGTGTTGGGCCAGTCATCACACCAGCAGACACCAGGCCAGTGTCCAGTGAGAACCACCCACCTCCCGTGGAGCCCCAGTAGCCCCTGGAGCACTGGGATCCCAAATGGAAATCACGAGAGAGTTGGAAAGACCCCAAGAAAAATGAAGGCTCTGAGTCACATAATTATCATAAGAATGAAGTTCTGCTACTGCTCATATATCCCACATATTTGTAATTATTAGGAAAAAAAAAGGCCAAATAAAAAAGAGCTTTAAAGACACAGCTCAGCCCCTCACTTCCCAAAAGGGGTCAGATGGGTTTTGTGATGGTCTCATCAGACATCTCAGGTGCTCCCCGCTGTGACCCAGAGCTCACAGTCCAGAGGGAGCCAAGCTGGGCTCCCAGCACCGTGACACCAGTGCTCCCAGTCAGAGCAAGGACAGGTCACACTGGAGCAGCCACACGAAACTTATGGGAAATATAGACAGTGTCAAGGAGAATTTGGTACCTCACCTTCCCAAAGCTTCCTTTTCCCAGCACCATCAGGAAGTTGAAGTCCGAAAGCTTCATCCGATCTCTGCTCCCGTTGTTGTCAAATTTGGAAATGGCATTTCTTGTCTTCTCATCCGCGGCCTTGGACCCAGTCCCGATCTTGGCTCTCTGCAAAGGTGGACATGGGACAGGGAGAAAAGAAAACACATTTCTGAAATCAGCAGGGAGAAAGGGTGTTATAAACCCAGTGGATGCCCCCAAAATCCCACCTAATCAGCCCTTTCCCAGCTCAAACACCACCCTGAGCTTCAGGAACCTTTTCCATCACATCACCAAGAAGGGCACTGGAGGAGTTACCAGCACTGGCACATGGCACAGATCCACTGCTGCCCAGTCAACCTCTGCCAGAGCAACTGGGAACCTCTGCCCATTGTCACCCCTCTCCCCATGCCAGAAGGTAGCCTGCCACGCTGCCCCATGCTCCAGGTCATCCAAAGCATAGAAGAGAGCCTTAAAGAAGCTTTTTTCCTCAAAACAAGCTTCTGTCTCTCACCTCCCCAGAAAAGGATGGGTGAATATCTCACAGAATATTTCACAGAATATTCTGAGTTGGAAGGGACCCACAAGGATCGAGTTCAGCTCTTAAGTGAATGGCCCATACAGGGATTGAACCCGTAACCTTGGTGTATATAAATATATTAAGGTAAAACACAAGGCTTTTTATCCAACTCCACCTCCATTACTCCCCTTATGGGTCCCTTCCAACTTGAGGTATTCCATGATTACATCTGATGCTGAAGAGAATCGCACTCCTGTGCCAGTTCAGGTTGAACACAGGAAGCCCCAAATCTATTTGGAACAGCAGAGAACAGAGAGCTCCCCTCTCACACCCCCAACCACCCTCACAACCACAGCTGCTCACTGAGGACCTCCACAACCCCCCATGTTTAAACACCAAACCCCACCAGCGTCCTGGCACCTCCTCCCCAGGCCAGGGGCTGTCTGATGTGCCGAACCACTGCTTGAAAAAGCTATCTCACAATTTATTCTCTTTTAATTTATAGAACTGTGTGGCAGTGTGAGGCCTGTGCCGAGCTCAGCCTAGCATGAAATTCCATTAACCCGATCCCGGCGGTTCAATTTGGCTGCTGCTGGCAGCCCCTCCAGATAGCACCTCACGGGTAATCTCAAGCCTTTGCTGCTGCTAATTGGTTCTCACAAGGTTCTCCCTGCTGCTGAATTCCCCACTCAAGGTCACCCGCAGCACCTACGAGCATCTGAAAAGCTCCTGCACTGAAAACCGAAGGACTGGTCTCTGGCATTTTCAAACACCATTGGTGTGACCACAGCTCTGCCCCGGGAAGAGGCTGGAACCCAAGGATGGGACCTGCTGCTGTCACTGGAGCCACACATATCCCATCTGCTTCCCAGTGGGAAAATATTCATGCAGCGAAAAGGAAATAAAGTCACGTCTCCCAAAGCACAAGGGGTTTCCTCAGAGTCATCTTCAGGCTTTTCCAGTGTCCCCAAAGGACAGGGAGACCCAGGCAGGCGCTGTACTGACAACCAGCTCAGGTGACCAACAGCAGCTCTGACACAGCCCGACGTGTCTCATTGAGCCCAACCAAATCACAGAACCATGGAATGATTTGGGTTGGAGGGACCTTAAAGATCATCCAGAGAGGATGATCAAAGAGGGGGAAATAAGAGGATTTTCTTTTGCTCCATCCCAGCAAACCATCCAGCCTCAGGCCCAGCACCAGCAGACACGGGCTGAGCACCAGCACCCAGACGTGGGGTGTCCTGGGCTCCCTCCTGAGGCTGTGTCTGAAGAGGGGTCAAGTCAAACCCAGTCAGTCCAGCACTTGACCTGATATGCAGCACCACAGTATGTTCAGGAAGATCAGATGAGGATACAAACATAACCAGGCCTCCCTGATAGAGCAGGCTCAGGGTGTGGCTTAGCCAGGAGGGTGAAGGTCTTCCCAGAAAGGAGCCCAAAATAAGAGCTGGGGCAATGTAACGACCAGCACTCGAAGGGAAGGGTCTTGCTTCTGCTGTCAAGCATCTCTAAGGACCCTAAGTGAACACAAAAGTCCTGTAACCTCTTTTTAATGCACTCCTAACACCTCCACAATCTCAAGACCTCTTTGAGGTTTACAACCGAAGCGTGCCAAGTATTGCTCACTGACTTTTTTTAAATAAAAGCACTTGACCTTCGTTATCCAACTCCATTTGTCACAGTTAATTTACTACATCTGAATTTATGCAAGAGCAGCTGACAAACCCATCTCTCCAGCTGTCCCAGCGAGGGGCTGATAAAGAGTGAGCGGAGCTGGCAGGGATGTGGTGCTGGGATGTGGTGCTGGGATGTGGTGCTGGGATGTGGTGCAGGGATGTGGTGCAGGGATGTGGTCCTGGGATGCAGCACAGGGTTCCATGCTGGGCTCCTCTTGGATGGTCCTTGTCCAGCCCAGGACGTGCTGGCTGGGACACGGCTGCAGGGAGCACAGCAGCACCTTGTTCAGGCTGTGGAGAGGGGCATGGCTCTGGCAGCAGCTCCACAAGCTCCCAGGCAGCTCTGTGTCCCCCAGGCTGGCACTGTGTCCTCCCTGCCAGGCTCTAGCACACTCCACTCCTCCCTCCCAACACCAGCACCAGCCATGGCCCAGCTGGAAGGGGATCCCCTGCCTGTAACACTGACTTCCTCACAAGGGAGGAGGGGAGACACATCAAGGTCAGGGCACGGGTGTACTCTGGCACCTCTGGACAGTGTGTTTTCTGATCTGTAGAAAACTCATCATCTGACTTCCAACACACCATTTTAACACCACTGGAACATCATGAAATGCAACAGAAGACAGCTGTTAGTTCTTTATAGAGCCAACAACCATTGTTTGTAGCTAACTGCTGTATTAGAACTGTCTTTTCTTGTATATTCAGGAAAGTTGTATATAAATAAGATAAAAAAAGAAAGGAGAACTCCAGTCTCTGCTACAATTATGGAGTTCATGCTGACAACCATAAGGGCAATTCTTTTATGTATGGCTCATTGCATGTAAGTCTCCAGATGTACCATGCTCATTCCCAAGGTTCTGGGGAGATTTTAGCTACGCTGAGAAATGGAAAGACCTGTTAACTCAGCAATGTCTGGATCAATCGTTCAGCAAGATCTTCCACGGCTTATTAAGTTGTAAATAGACATTTCTCCTTGAAGCCTCTGTGGGGAGTTGGACCCTACTCCATGTTCCCTGTGCTGCCAGGGAAAGAGCTAGCAGGGAAAGCCCCTTGCTGAGGGCACTGCAGGTAGGCAGTAAAGAAAACACCTGAGTCCCACAAAAATCAATTCACCTCAAATTTCTGCCTCAGTTCCTCGTTTCCTTCTTCTCCCTCGGGAGGCACTGGGACGTTGAAATACTCCCCCTCCTCCTGGCTCAGCAGCTTAAACCTGGAGGGAGAGTGAGAATGTCAGGTCAGGATGGCAGGTGGGGCTGCAGGTAGGCAGGATCACAGGCAGGACCTCACCCCTGCTCCAAGCATGGTATCCAGGTGAACCTTCCCCAAGGTCAGAAGACCCCCCAGACCATGCCCCTCAGCAAGCCCCAGACTCTCAGCCAGGTGGAGGGATGTTTCTGGGTCCCTCGCTGTACTGGGGACCCCCACAGCCCGGGGAGCACATCCACTGCCTGCTGTGGGGGGCACACAGAGCACTGACATCGCTCTCAAACGAATCCTGACCCCAAAACCCACAGACAAAAGCATGTCTTTCTCATGACAGGCGCAGGCACAGGCACAGGCAAACCCCCTCTCCATCAGTTGCCCCCCAAGGACAGCACGTGGAATGCGCCAGGCTGGTGCTGCCAACCCTGAGAGCACAGACAAGATGCTCCTCAAAAGAAGGAAAAAAGCTTAAGCAGCAATTATCAGAAATCATGGAAATGCCACTCAGAAAAGAGGCATTCCACGCCATTAGGAGTGAAGCCCAGCTCTGGCAGCCAGGAGGGTTCTCAGCTGGGTGTTATCCCAGAGGCTGCTCCGAGCAACAAAGCCCTGTCCGCATAACACAGGGACAGGCTCTGCCTTTGAGCTTGTTTTCTCCATTAACTGCAGTTGTTTGGATATGAAATATAGATCAGAGCTCCTGCTCCTTCTCCAGTTTACTTCAACTAGCGCCGTGACAAGGAAAATTACTTAGATCTCCACTTACATGATTTTTAAAAGGCTGGAAAATGCTCAGGCTTCGGGCTGCGTCAGAAGCCAGCAGCACATGACACACATGCACCCTTACAGGTGACTGGGAATTTGGGGGGAAGTGACAGCTCCCTGCTGTTTTCCAGAAGAGGAGCTATGTCCCCATCAGGGTCTGGTTGGTGATGAGGAGGCTGAAACCCTGCCACGTGTCCCTGTGCTGTACCAGGTGCTGCCCACCTCATCGGGGTGGGACAGTGACAGGAGCACCCCCAGCTCTGCCCTGGATGTGCCAGGGTGAGGAGCAGTGGATGACCCCTCCAGTCCCCTCCTGCACTTCTCAGCTCTCTCTGGGTACCCAGACTGCCTAATTCCTCCTCCTCCTCTCCATTCTCTACTCAAAGGGAGACATGTCCAGCTTCTATGGTGGGAAAATGCAGTCTGGAGCATTCACTCAGCTTGTGAATGCAGATTAACAATATGCAGGGGGTGGTTTCCAAAAGACATCTAATATCTCTTTTCAATTATTACACTCGCCATGGACAGGTAACACAGCTCCCAGGCACCAGTGCCCGGGGAAAAAACAGGGAAATAAGGCACTGTGTGTCCTGCTGGGGGAGATAAAATGAAAATGGAGAGACCCACTGAGGGGTGTTACAGCCCTGCTGTGTTCATCACTCGTGTGGTAACGAGCGTTGGTAATTACACACTTTGGTGGTTCCTCCTTGTACTGAGCTGTGCCCTCCACACCAGCACTGCAGCCCACGTGCTCCAGCCAGGAATCACAGCTCCAAGGTGTCCCCACCACCACCCCCTCACAGCCCTGCTCTCCCACGTGCCTGAGGAAGCCACAGTGCCTGCCTGGTACAGAAACTGAGGGAATCCAAGCAGAAAATGCTGGAAAATGCTGCCTTGGCAGATGAGGGCAGGTGATGCTGGCTCCCCCCAAAGCCCACGCAGTGAGAGCCCCCGGGAGCACCAGCCCTTCAGGCAGAGCAGCCCTGGGGCTGGGAGTGGAGTCTGGGGGAGGGAAAAGCCCCACAATCCCCTGAGCAACCCTGCAAGGAGCAGGAGGACACGCAGAAGGTGATGCTAAGCCAGTCCATGCTGAGCACCCCTACACTGTCCTGACTCCTCTGGGCACCCCATGGACACCCCACACAGCACCAGCCACCCTCTCCAGCCCGAGAGGTGGAGCAGCACCTTACACAGAGCCAGGCCAGGTGGGCCTGGAGCAGAAGGGAGCTGGTACAAGGTGCTGTCACGTCTCTCACCCCCACAGATGATCCGGGCTGCTTTCTGCCCATGGTATTTAGGAAACAATTACATCTTACCATCCATCCACTCCCGACTTCTGCAGCTCAGAGATCCCAAAGGACAAGGAGCCCATGAAATCATTCCTGCTGGTCAGATCCCAGTCCCAGATCTCCACAGACAACCGCCTGTCTTTGTCTGCCTCTTTCAGTTGGCTGGAAGAGAGGAAAAGGGACGGTTTTATCCTGGAAGATGTTGCCACACCACCCTGTCCCCCCCTGCTCTGCAGGAATACGGATGCAAAGTGAAGGGATGCTCCTCGATGCCTGTTGAGGTCTCCAATATTTAATTGCCAAACCACATCTGACTCACACGGAGAGCACAGAGTTCGTGCCCAAACACTCAGCTTTGATCGGGGTCAGGGCAGAGGTTTGAGTGTTTCTGAGTCACTTACTGAATAAAAAGAATCATTTCTCAGTCGAATCAGTTCAATGCCTCTGAATAATTAAATAAGAGCAAATACAATCACATTAATTCTTGGGGGTGAGAAAATTCAGCTTACAAATTTAAACATTTTCCTTGTACTTACAATTTAAATGTCTCGTTCCACTCAGGATTCAGGGAGCACTTGATAGTTTTGGTCTTCTGTTTGCTTTCATTTTTGGGGTCAGGGATTAGTTTAAGCTTCACGTAGGGATCTGACAAGCCATTAGGGTCCATAGGAACTAGGTTTTTAGCATCTCTTACTGGGGAAGAGAAACAGGATTAAATTCAGTATTCCAACTATAAAAATACCCGACAACTGACAACTTCCCTGCGTGCCAAGAGTAAGTGTGAAAATAGTGATTAAAAGCAGAATTAAACTGGATCTGTGCAGACATGGGCACTACATGAGGAACGACATAATTAACGCAGAGCAAACGCAGCTCTCGTGGACGGGGGAGGCTGAAGGGTCAACTCAGGAGATTATTTTTATTTTCTGGTAGGATGGTTTTTTGTTTGCTCTCAGTTCTAAGCAATTTAAAGCCGGTTTGTTTCCTCTTGCCCCTTGGGAAGAAGCACTGCACTGAGTTGGTGGGAGCACAGAGATGGAGCTTTCCTTGGAGAGTGGAAACAGCAACGTTAACGCCCCGGGCAGGGGAGAGCAGGGACCCAAAGGCACCAACCTCCCCACTGGGCCCTCCCAGGCTCAGCTGGGGCCCTGAGGGAGGATGCTCACAGGGCATCATCACCTGCCCACTTGGCAGCATCACCCCGGCTCTGGGAGCTGAAGTGTCTCCTCTGGGAAGCAGGAGGAGAGAGGGAAGAGCAAACCTGAGATGACTCGGTTGCTTGTAATTGGATTGCAGCTTGGACAAATTAAATACAGCCAGGCTGAGCTGAGGCTCTTTGCCCAGATTAAGTCAAAAAGGGTCTGTCTGCCAGGAGAAGGGTCTTATCGTCCCTCCAGCCCAAATGGAGATATCAGAGATGGAAAGCCCGATGGCCACGATGGAGCTGAGCTGTAACCTGCAGAAAAGCTGTTTCAAGGAAGCCCAGAGTAGAGCTCCCCCCTCCCCAGGTCCAGTGCACATCCCAGGGATCAGGCACGGAGGGTTGTGCCATGCTGGGAACAGGAACTCAGTGCTGCCTGAAATTCCACCAGATGCCACCAGCAGCTCCGCTGTGAAGGCACAGCTTCACCCTAAAATCCCAAGGAGGAGGAGAGGACTCTGGCTCTGTGTGTGGCACCAAAGGACATCAGAAGACACTTTTAGAGTCAGAAGAGTAAAAACAATTGCCCACTTCCCAACTCACCAGTAAGGCACTTCTGATGAGGTTGGGAACCAGAGAGTTTTGAAAAGCAAATTAATGCCCCAAAATCTGCCATCTAGTGCTGTCCTGCCAAAGCATCGCCCAATTTTCAGATCCACGGAATCAAACTTGCAGCCAAAATGCAAATCTGCATTTATAAACGAGCTCATTTATCAAACGTGACAGCCCTGCCAGCAGCTCGTGAGACGGGGAGAGGCGTGAGCCTGCTGGGAACCACCGCCTGCCACTGCAGGAGCCAGGCAGCCCCAGCCATCCTGCTGCTCTACGTGCTCCTCAGACACCTGGGATGAGGCAGCTGCAGGAGACAGACACCTCTGGCCCCTCTGGCAGAGGGGGAAGGAATGACTTCATCCCTGCCCGTGGTACACGGGGACCTCGCCGGGGATGCCGTCATAGAATAACCAAATCCCAGCATAGCTGGGGTTGGGAGGGACCTTACAGCTCATCCAGTGCCACCCCCTACCATGGGCAGGGACACCTTCCACTAGCCCAGGTTGCTCCAAGCCCCGTCCAACCTGGCCTTGGACACTTCCAGGGATGACGCAGCCACAGCTTCTCTGGGCAACCTGTGCCAGGGCCTCCCCATCCTCCTAGGGAAGAAATACCTTCCTAATTTCTATTCTAACCCTGTCCTCTGTCAGTTTAAAACCACCACTCCAGGGCTCCCTGCCTGCACCCCCCACACTGCCAAGGCACAGGGAACAATGCCCCCAGTGCCCCACTGAGCCAGAGCCTCACCACACCCTCCCCCTGAGCTCTGACTGCTTTCTATTGCCTTCTTGGCCTTAAAATTATTACACAAATGTGTTTTCAGTGCCCCTGCCCACCTGCAGCACTCAGGCCTGTGGGAGCCTCAGGGAAAGTGGGGGACAACCACTGCCACTCACAGAACCACTTATATTGGGATGTTGGGGCACCAGGCTCCAAACAGTGCCCACCCTGTGGGCCAGCGGCTTCTTCCAGCCTCTGGGTTGGTTCTGCTGCTCACACAGGAGGTCTGAAGGGTCCTCAGTGGTTTCTGCTGACCCCAGGGCAGGTGAGGGGTGATGGTCACCAGCGAAGACTGTGCCCACTCTCCTGCCCTGGGCTCTGGGGTCTCACACCAGCCAGTGTCCCCTCACTGACAGGAGATGCAAAATGATGTCACACGGAATCAGCTCCAGCTCTGCTCTGTGTTTCACCATCCCCACAGCCAACACGACATCCTCTGGAGACTAATGAACCACCCTCCATCGTTTATCAGGCCGTCCTTCGCTTCTTTAAGGAACAGGAGAAGTAATTCCTGACCCTCACAGTTAATCAGTTTATGCCCTGAAGCATGAGATTTGATTACCTCATGTTATTATCTCAGCGTGCAGACCTCACAATTTCATTAATAGGAATAATTTTATCTATTCATTTAAAAAAACAAAATGCTTCTGCTTGACCTCAAGAAACTTTCTAACTTTTCAAGCAGAAATCAACAATTAAGTGAAGGGAAAATAAAAACGTGAAGCAGCACAGCAGTGATACCTCACAGCAGGAGAGTTGCGCTCCTTCCTCGCCAGTGTTTATGGAATTTACTTGACAGTTAAATTTGATGTAAAATAGTTTTACATCTGTCATACCCTGACAGTTTTGTGCATCATTAAGAAGTAGTAACATCATTATTAACGGTGATGAGTAAGAATATTACGATCCCATTTAAAGCAGGACTTAAATCACTGTGGGTACCAAGTGCGGCCAAGGAGCTGCCTCAGGCCATGGGCAGGATGAGGCATCCATAAGTCTTTGACATCCCTGGACTAGGAGGCTTGGGGGGGCAGTGGTGGCAGTGCCCACCTCCTCCACACCGTTCCCATGGCAATGGGGACACTCCTCCACTGCCATGGGAAGGAGGTGTCACCTGCTCTGCCTTGCAGGGCCAGGGCAGGTAGAGCTGTGTGAATGTTACCTGAATAATTTATTCTGCAAACAGCTTCCTAATAAATGATTCAGACAAGAACTTTTAACTACTCAGGCAGCTGTAACTGCAGGAAGAGGCTTGGGAAGAGACATTCCCATTTTTGATGGCAAATGTGGGGAGAAGCCTCACTCTGCCACCTGTGCAAAGCAGGAGGGAGTAGGGCCTCTCCAGGCACTGCAGGCACTACAGAGGGCATGTCCAGAAGCTCACTGTGGATACAGGAGCAGGGCAAGGCCCTTCCTCCTACTCCCAGGTTTCCCAGGGAGGGCAAGAGTAGTATGGTGGATAAACAAGGACCAGAAAGTTCTTTGCTAAATATGCCTCGTGGGGTTCACTTTTATGCTAAATAAAGCCTACAATAAATCAACTCCTACCCCACTCTCCAGACAGCTCCCATGGGCTGTCACAACCTTTCTCCTCCTCTCTGAGCACACAGGGCCATGGAACATGTTCAGTGCAGGGAATTCTGCTTCTTGCTGCCCTCCAAAGGGAAAGGCACTGGCCAGAGGAGCTGTGGCTGCCCCATCCCTGCAAGTGTCCAACATCAGGTTGGACGGGGCTTGGAGCAACCTGGGCTAGTGGAAGGTGTCCCTGCCCATGGCAGGGAATGGGACTGGATGGTCTTTAAACCAAACCATTCCAGGATTCTATGGTTCTATGAAAAACCCTTCCAAAGCCTGGCTCAGTGCAAGGAGAGGTTAGAACTCTGCCACCTCATGCCAGCCCATCACTTCTCCATGGCCGTGCCAGCAGCACCCCCAATTCCACAGCTCTTGGATGGGATTTTGGAGAGGGGAAGGCTCTTGGGCTGGCCTGCAGCACTCATCTTCCTCCCTCCAGCAGCACACACCATCCCCAGCCAGGAGCAGCCCCATCCCAGTCAGTGCCCGGCACTCAGATGAACACCCTTGCGAGTTAAAACATTTAATTAATGCTCTGATAAGAATATATTTGCACATGCTCATACAATGAAAAAGGCACAGGACTCATTACAGCTGCATCTGCCTGGGCCGGTGATTATTAATTAACACACTTCCAGCTCGTTTATTTAATCACAGCATAATTGGTTTCAGTTTTGGTCAATGTTTTCCTTCAATCAGCTCAGTAAACAGCGAAGCTCTGTCCCAGCAGCCTCTGCCACGCTGCAGGAGCACCAGGGGGTTGGGCCCACGGGTGCTACCAAGGGGCTCGGCTTTGCAGGAACCACTGGGGGCCAGGGCACTGTACCAAGGCTCACAGGAGAGAAGAGGGAACCCAACATGGTCCCCATGCTCAGCAGCCCTGGCACGAGGACGGGGTCAAAGGGCCCTGGACACACTGAAGAGTCTCCATCGCCCAAACACAGTCCAACCTCGCAGCATAAACCCACCACAGCTTTTCTGCCTCCTCATCCCTGTTAGACTCTCTGCCTTTTAGGTCTCTTTTTCACTCCAGCACTTCCCCGAGAGAAGAGATGAACACGTGCTGGGCTGCACTGGCACACGGCGGGACACACCTCCCACCTGCCTGTGGTGGCAGAGCCAGCTCCTGGCTGCTGGAGAGGAGCCACGCACAGAGTCCTCAAAGCAACTTCCATCTTGGAGCAGCAACAGCTTTAATGGATTCCCAGCCCAGCCTTCACATTCTCCCACTCCTCCATTTCCCAGACTCAAATATTCATGTCCCTTAATACGACAGGCTCAGAATAATCTGCATTTGGAAGCTTTTCTGTTATGGAAGCCAAAATGCGCAACGCCTTGATGACACTTCAATTTGCTGTGATTTCCCACTTTATTCCTTAGTCTTTTCCCACTAATAAGACACTTGATCAAAGCCCAGAGCAGAATATGGACTGTGAACATGCATTTGCTCCTGCTCCATTTCACATCTCCCTCCCACAGTGGGGGTTCAGAGACACAGAGCCCACATTCTAAATATCAGGAAGAAAGTCTTCCCTGTGAGGGTTGGGAGGCCCTGGCACAGGTTGCCCAGAGAAGCTGTGGCTGCCCCTGGATCCCTGGAAGTGTCCAAGGCCAGGCTGGAGCAACCTGGGATAGTGGAAGGTGTCCCTGCCCATGACAGGGGGGTGGAATGAGATGAGCTTAAGGGTCTCTTCCAACCCAAATCATTCCAGGATTCAATAATTCTATGAAAATCTGTGTCTTCCACTGGGAGGGAAAGATTAGCTTCACAAATAAAAGGAAAAAAATTAGAGTAAGAGAAAAGAAACCCACAGAGCTGAACAGCATCCGGCAAATTCCTGTTAAATTTGTCAAGCGATGAAGAAATCGAAGCCCCGAGTGGGTTCGCGTTGGCCGTGCCCGTGCTGCCACCTGCAGGCACCGGCCCTGCCCTGCCAGCCCTGCCTGCTCCTGCCAGGGGCACCCGGGCACCCTCACACTTCATAGCTGGGATCCTCTTTGCCATGGGAAAGCTTCCGGAATTCCCGGGCAAGGGTCTCCCCCCCCTTGGTGGTACAGGGAGAAGGTCTCACCCCACCGCCAGTACCTGTTTTTTCCTGTGCAGCAGGACCAAAGGGGGGCTCAGCCTCCCCACCCCTGCCAGGCTCAGGGGGCTGCACCACCCCCCTGCCACCCACCACTGCACTGTCACTGCTGTTCTCGACAGAAATCCACCCCCTGCCCGCCCCAAACTGAAATTCCTGCAGAAAACGTGTAAAGGGCATTTTCCACCAGAAATCTGCTCAGAGGAATCCTGGCTTCTGCCTCCACCCACTGCCTCCCTGGGCTGGGCTGGGGCCCCAGTGGGGACACTCTCCAACTGTGCCCCCCTGGGATGGCCAAGGCAGGTCCTGCAGGAACTATTTGTGTTGGAAAATCCCTCCAAGATCATTGAATCCAACTGTTCCCCCTGCTAAGGCCACCACTGAGCCATGTCCCCAAGTGCCAGACCTACACAGCTTTTAAACCCCTCCAGGGACAGGGACTCCACCACTGCCCTGGGCAGCTGTGCCAGGGCTGGACAGCCCTTTCCATGAAGGAATTTTTCCAATATCCAACCTAAACCTTCCCTGGCACAACTGGAGGCCATTCCCTCTCCTCCTGTCCCTTGTTCCCTGGAGCAGAGCCCGACCCCTCCCCAGCTCCCCCCTCCTGTCAGGGGGTTGCAGAGCCAGAAGGTCCCCCCTGAGCCTCCTTTTCTCCAGGCTGAGCCCCCCCAGCTCCCTCAGCTGCTCCTGGTGCTCCAGCCCCTTTCCCAGCTCCTTTCCCTTCCCTGGACACGCTCCAGCCCCTCAATGTCCTTCTTGTTGTGACGGGCCCAAAACTGACCCCAGGATTTGGGGTGGCCTCCCCAGTGCCCAGTACAACATGAGGTGGCTCCATCTCCCAAGGGCTGGGTGCCCACCCGTGCTTTGGGCTCCCCAGTGTCCAGCCACTCCTCTCCCAAAGCATCCCACTCCTCCAGCAGCTCCACAGCAGAGCTGGAGAACTCAGCACGCTTCCCTGCCTTCTGGAAAAGCCAACAGCTGACATGTTTTCACCAACACCTCCATAAAGGGCCAGAAATAAAACAGCCTTTCAAACCCAGCGGAAAAAATGAAAATCCAGCTGCACAGAATGGGGCCAAGGGAGCTCCTCCCCTGCCTCCAGAGAGGTGGGAACACAGTGCCAGGGAACTCATGGTGCCAGTGGGAGGGTGAGCTCTGTACCCCACTGGTATCTGATGGAGGTTGGGTACCAGTCCCATCTCACCCCCAGAGGGAATCATAGAATCATTAAGGTTGGAAAAGACCTCCAAGATCACCAAGTCCAACCTTCAGGAAGGTGCCTGGGAAGCAAGACTTCTGAGAAACATAGTTCTGCCTGGCTCACTGATGCTCTCCTTTAAGGACAAATCAAACAAAAAATAAATTAAAAAATCCTCCACAACTTTTTTCAATTTTTCATTAACATCTTCAGCAACTTGGTATTTTTCTTGAAAATACTCCCAATGGCTCTGTAGGCCAGAAGGATCCTGGCTCTCCTGCACACTCCTGGATCATACCTGAGTACCTCCTTCCATGTGGGTGAGGTGACCTGTGCCACCACCTGCCGAGGCTGGGGCACCTCCTGAGGCTGTGCCCACCATGGACCAAGGCTGCCCTCGGCCTCCCACCCCCGGGGGGGCTGGCTGGGCTCACCCTCCCTGGAGCAGAGCAGGGCTGGAGCCCTGCTGGGTCATGGCAGCCACCCCTGTGGGATGCGCTCGGCTGAGCCCGGAGCCAGCCTGGAGCAGCAGGACCTTGGCAGCCTCTGCTCTCCTCAGGGAACAGGGGCCTGTCAGAGTGACGAGGAGCACCACGGGATGCACGGAGACAACCCCGTCCCACAGAAACCAACCCTGGGGCTGTCAGAGCACCTCCTGCTGCGACAGGAAACCAGACTTCTCCACGGAGCCGGTGGGATGGTGGAGAAGGATCTGGTGTTGCCATGGATGTCCCAGCCCGGTGCCCCCTCAGGGGCACTGCAGGGGGCACTTCACAGCCCACGGCTTCAACTCATCCGGGAATAACCGCGACAGCTCGGCCGCCCCTGCGGAGACCGCGGCACCCGGAGTGCCTGGGCACCAGCGTGGGCAGGACCTCCCTCCCACACAGCACCAGCTCAGCCCCGGCAGACAGGCCCCGGAGGGACTGACAGTGCCGTGCCCACGGGGAGCAATCCCTGCCTCCAGCCCCCGCTCCACGAGACACCCGTGACCAGCACCCAACAGAGCCACAGCTCTGCTCTGATCTCCTTGTGCTGGGCACAGGAGGCTTCACAAGGACATGGCTTAATGTTTGGGGGGATGCTCAAAGGTCATGGGGGAAGCAACATCTTTTGGGAACTCAAAATCTGGGTGGCAAAAGTCCTTAAAGACGGGATAGTCCTGTTTCCTGCCACAAACCGGGAACAGAGAAGTTTCAGGACAGAGAAAACTGGCACTGGGAACAAGGTGTTTCCCCATGGATGGCCACCGGGCCCCTGGGACACTCCAGACAGGGAAGGAGCCTCTGCTGAGCCCGGCACCACCTGGTTCCCTGCAGGCTCCTCCAGCCCCATCTCCCACCACTGGGCACATCCCTGCAGGTGGATGCTGTGAGATGGCTCCTGCCCATCATGGCTGGTTGGATCCTCTCTGCTCCCCCTTCCCAGGGTCCCGTGGATGTTGAAATTTTACAGCATTTAAAAAGCAGTTTGAAAAATCTGTAACTGCCGTTGATACACAGAACCCCTGGAGCCCCAGCCAGGCTTTGCCAGAGGGTAGGAGGGTGCCCAGAGAGGCTCAAAGCCTTGTCCTGCCCTGCCGGGCATCTGCTCCTGGGTGCTGACACCGGGCACGGCGCTGCCCGGCCCTGCAGGGCCACCAGGCTGTGGGTGTGCTGTCAGACACTGTCCCACACTGTCAGTCACACACGTACCTACGACGGTGAGCACGTCCTTGTCGATGTCTGCCCGGATGTATATCCGCCCCCGGCGCTCCGTGTGGTCCGTCCCGCACAGGCTGGGCACGTTCATCACGCAGCGCTTGTGCACGTTCATCATGCAGGCTGGGGACAGAGGGGACACACGTTCATCATGCAGGCTGGGGACAGAGGGGACACACGTTCATCATGCAGGCTGGGGACAGAGGGGACACTCAACACCCGCTGCCATGGCCCACGGGGCGCTCGGAGGGATGGGGAGCACCCGTCCTCCTCCTAATGGAATGCTGTGAGGGATTCTGGGATAAACATGGAGCAAATGGACCTTTGAACACAGCTGGAGACTCTGCAGAGCCCTGCCTGGACACGGGAGCCCACGGCAGCAGCTCTGGGTCCTGCCTAAGAGACCCCAGGGCTTTGAGCCCGTTCTCTGATCGTTTGAGTTTTGCTGACTCATTAAACTTTTTTTCCATCACACCCAGGGTACAATGCTGGATTCACCAGGAGCCCAAGAAGGGGCATTAAAAATTTGATATATATAACATAGACAGATATAAATATTTATATTTCAAAGCAATCCATCTCCCCTTGGTTAGATTCCCAAGGAATACCCTGCTCCCACAACAGCCAAGCCTCTCTATTCCTGAGCAAGGACCAGCCGAGTTTGCTGCTCCTGCTGCCAGCACAAACTGCACGTCCCAGTCCCTTTAAAGGGAATGTACAGGATTAACTTGGAAAATTACTGATTCCATCCTCTCCCTCTGCTTCCATCCCCCTGTTTTCTCCTCTCCACTGGCAGCGCCGGGAGCGGCAGCGCATGGCACGGCCACACGGTGTCACTCGGAGCCAGCGGGAGCCGAGGGGATGCGCAGGGGGATCCTGCAAGGACGCTGCAGGGGGAATGTGGGGGCACGCAGGGCAGGATGTGGGGAGCGGGAATGCTGCAAGGATGCTGCAGGGGGTGCTTCCCGGGGGGATGTATGGGGGGGATGCTGCTGCAGCGGGATGCAGGCAGGCTCCCCCCCCAGCCCAACACCTTCCCTCTCCCTGCAGCCACGGTGGGGATGCCCCACACCGGGTGAGAAGGTGCCCACTCACGCCCCTCGTGCCCCCAGCAGCCCCACAGTACACTCTGCACCACGGTCAGAGGGAACGGGCTCTTGCTTATGACTCGGGTGGGTTGGGAGCCCCTGCCCAGGACCTTGGGGTGCCACAGCCTCCCACGGGGTGCCAGAGCCCCCCAGAGCTGCAGCCAGAGCCCCCGGTGCCATCACTTACTGTCACATTTCATGCCCTGGTGGATGAGCCCGTACAGCAACGACCCGCAGTGGTCACAGAAGGTGGGGCTGGAGTACGTGTGGATTTTGAATTTGTGCTTGCTCCGGGGATCCTGGGAGGAAAACAAAGGATAAAGATTATAAACTTGCATCAAATATTGGCAAGGCACGCCCACTCTGCCCATTCCATGTGCCAGCTGGCTCTGGAGGTGCTGCTAATGGACTTCAGTCAACTGCCCCCGACTCGTGGGGACCTTTTCCAGTAATCACCAGGATCCTGCTTTATTCCTCTTTCTATATGTTGCCATAACAATGAAAAAGCAATGCATTGGCTTGTCTGGGGATTTATTCTTTTTCAATAACTCGGTCTTAGCATGGAAAACACCAGGTGAAATTGGTAGGTACGAACCAACAGAAGGGCTGGACACTGCCCAACTTCCATGCAGAGCAGGACAAACCATCCATGATTCCAACTATATTAAGCCTGCCCAGGAAACATCTCTGTGCTCCAGTGCCAGCCCTCCCCAGCATGATCCCATGGATTCAAGCTGCTTGGGGGATACTTTAATATTTTGAGCTTTCTTAAAAGCAAGGGAAGATTTTTCTGCAGCAGAGTGTGCAGACCCAGAAGAGCCCAGTTTATCCCTTTATTCCTTGTGCAGGCACCAGGCAAACAGGGCTGCTGGGGCTCCAGCAAAGGCAGCAGGAGTTAAAGCCAAACAAACTCAAATCATAGAATCCTGGAAGGACATTGAAGATCATCTCATTCCAGCCCCTGCCATGGGCAGGGACACCTTCCACTAGCCCAGGTTGCTCCAAGCCCTGTCCAGCCTGGCCTTGGACACTTGCAGGGATGGGGCAGCCACAGCTTCTCTGGGCAACCTGTGCCAGTGAAATAACCTCCAGAAGAAACAACTTCTCAGCCAGGAGATAGGATGAAGCACTGAGGCATAGCAAGGATATGGTATCTCTTGGTATCTTCCTTGCATGAAAAGACAATTCTGGAAGGCCAGGAGAGCCTGGAGCAGCTGGGCTGTGCAGAGGAGGGCTCTGGGGCTCCACACCTCTGGGAGCAGCACACACAGGCCAGGGGGAAGATTCCAGCATGGAGCAGCTTGATTTCATCTCAGGTTAATTGTTTAAAGGTTAGGGATAAGGCACAGCTCCCGCTCTGTCATTTGAGCTGAGCAGCTTTTTAATGGCCTGGAAAGCTGCCCAGGCATTAGCAAAGACACCTTTTCAGGGCACTGAGAGCAGAGTAAATAAATAAAGAGTGGAATCAGAAGCGAGCTATAACATCACTGCCAATACACTCCTTCCCCCTGAAATTAATTTCCCAGCACTGTTGCATTGAAGCTTCCAGCTGCATTAATCACCAACATCCTGCTTTGTTACTCAGCACCACAGATAACCCCACGACACCAGCCAGGAGCAAAACTAATGGAGCTTCCTCTAACTTGACCTGTGAAGTGCCAGGAATCAGGTACAGGCTTCAGCAAATTTGTACTGAAATGGGAAATACCTCACCCTGTACCCCAAGCAAACCACTTCTAGACACAGAGCCCAGTGTAGCTCTGCCTGGCAGCTCGCTCCTGTGCCAGCTGTGGCACAGGAAAGCCAAGGGGAAGAAGAGTCATGATCAACCTGCCTTCTGGACACCTCAAAGAGACAGTTCTTTAAGTGACACTATAGGTTTGAAAGCCTTTTGCATTCCTCAGAAACATAAGAGAGCAGAGAAAACTTAAACCTGGATTTTTGGCTAGAACAGGAGGTGGGCGGGGAGTTCCCCCCAAAAAGCTTGGGGCAGGTAGCCTGGGCTTGACCTCACAGGATGGTCTGTAAGGTTCCTTCCAACCCAAACCATGCCAGGATCCTCTGATTCCCTTGCCACTGTCCCAGGAGAAAGGGGGTCTCTGGCTGGCTGGTCCTGTAGAGCCCTCCGGGCATCAGCCACAACTCCTGACCCTCTGTGGCAGCAGGACAGGGTGAGGGGGACACGGGGCAGGGCGAGGGGGACACGGGGCAGGGCGAGGGGGACACAGGGCAGGGCGAGGGGGACACGGGCAGGGCGAGGGGGACACGGGCAGGGCGAGCAGGAGCCCCGTGCCAGCGTGTGACACGGGGAGGAATCGCCCCCAGGCGCTCCAGCTTCTGTGTTCCCTTCTAGAAACACATATTCCTGTTTAGGCAAATGAAAGCTTTAGTCATTCATAAAAAACACAAGCCTTATGCAAAAGGAGACAATTCCCACTTCATGCGAGGGATGTGAAATTCCCACTGGAACCTGGAGTTAAAGAAGGCAGAGCTGGAAAAGCAAAGTGTGTGTTGAAGCACACTGAGCTCCCCAAACTCAGCACCACAGCCCTGTGGGAAGGCAACCCCTGCTGGGGGGGGCTAAATCCCTTATGGGAACACTTCAGGCTTCACCTTCTGCTCCCATCTGCCCAAGGGGCTGTTCTGGAGAGACCCACACACAGAGGGGCAGAGCCCAAAGGGTGTGAGGGTGATGGAGCAGTCAGGAACAGGGAGGTAAAGCTGGTTTTCTGGCTGCTGGGATGTGTGGGACCTGTGTCACCTTGACCAGTGCCTTAGAAAGTGCCAGAAACTGGCAATTCTGGATATCATTTCTGACCAAGGCTGAAGTCGCTGTACGAAGAGACTATTTTTGTACCACCGAGACAGGGATGACGAGAACACTGCGCATGCAGATGCTGAGACTTAAAACAAGAATGGTTAAAAAGAAGTTTGCCAAGAAAAGAAAAAGCACTTCTCCTCCCCCACCAGCACAGAGCCGGCCTGAAGAACAGGGCAGGAACAGCTTTCCTTGGAGCAGAGCTGGAAAATGCCGTTTGGAGAATGTCAGTGCACGGCAAGACTCTGCCCTTCCCAGCCAGCGCTGCCTCAGAGGGGTGTGAGCCCAGGGCAGGGAGCCAGGGAAGAAAAGGAGCTGCTGCTGGCTTTGACCTGGTGCCCTGCAGGCATCGACCCTGCAGAGGTGGCAGAACCCATCCCTGGCCAGCTTGGATGAGGTTTGGGGCAACCTGGGCTACTGGAAGGTGTCCCTGACCCTGGCAGGGCAGTGGAACGGAATAATCTTTAGAGTCCCATTCAACCCAACCCCATCTATGATTCTATGAAATAACCCCCCAGGCCTCCACTTCTCCTTCAGTGGAGCCCTGGGAAGGGGCAGCCAGACCCACACTGATGGCTTGTTTGAATCCTCTGTACTGACATTTGCTGGATTTGACAGAACACGGTTTTGCAACAAGATCACAGGCGGCTGCTTTCCCCATCTCATTGCAGAGAAAGCTCTAAATTATCTCTCCCAAAGAAGAATTAACACAGTTCCCATGAAGAGACCATTTAAAAGTGAATTTCATAGCAATTTAAGCAGCTTACTAGCAAACAGAACATAGCCAGAGCTTACTGCATGCACTCAGTAAGCCTGGGCAGGGGACAACCCAAAACCTCACACTTGGTTCCCATGACTCCCATGTGGAAAATCCCCCCGACATGCAGGGAACAACTCACAGCAGGCAAGGTGGCCTGTCATCCCTTCCAGGGAAAGACTGGATTACAAGAGGTCAGGGATGTGAATGTGACAGCTCCAGGTGGCATCCTGCCACTGTGCCAGCTGTTCTTTGGGATGCCAAGACAGGGCAGGGGAAGATGTAACAGAGACCACGGCACCCACCAGGGAGTCCGAGCTCCAGCAGCACTGGCCCATCCTGTCTGGGAGCTGCTGCCCTGGGGATGCACCTCCTGCATCCCCCCACCTGCCTGCACAGGGCTGGAAAAACACCTTTGGTGAGAAATAGCTCGAGTCCCAGCAAAAAAACAAGCAAGGAAGTTCAGGAACAAGGGCACAAGAGCGCTGGGTCTTTGTTTCAATGAGAAGAGCCACAATAAACCAGAGACTCCATGGAAAGGAGGTTACAGGCAGGAGGAAAACACAGGTCCTATTCAAGGTGAGACAGCAAAGATTTGGGGCTCCATCAGGTGTCCTCGCCCATGGCAGAGGGATGGTCCCTTCCAACCCAAACCAGTCTGTGATTCCAGGATTCTGGAGCATCTTTTCTACCACCACATCTCCTCGGAAGCTGCCTCAGTGTGCCACAGCTCAGAGGCAGGTGGACACTGCTGTGCCAGTAAGTGACACCAGAACTATTTTTCTGTATTTTACAGCATTCCAGCCACAGAGAAGCTCACAGGGCACAGGGCCTGGGGGCATGGCTGTGCAGGCAGCAGGATCCTGGCAGCAGGATGGAGGCAGCTCCTGGGGAAGAGCCAACAGAGCAGCACGGACACGGCTGTGGGCACAGGCACCACGGCGAGGCTGCTTCCATGTCAAACAGAACCTGCCCCTGACAGCTTCCAGCAAGTAAATACATTTTTATTGACAAAAGATCTCATCCTCTCGTCAGACAACTGCAGTGGGATATGGACGACAGTTGTTCTTCTCTTGCTGCTGACAACACTGAATAAAACGCTTTCTCTTGCCAAGCAGCAAAAAAAAAAAAAAAAAAAGCCAAACTCAGCTTCTCTCCCAGAGCAGCACTTGCATCTCGACACCCTTTAGACATGTCTGGTATCTTGCACATGCCTTGAGAGTCATTTTATTATACCTCCATGAGAGTGGGGCTCCCACTGCACTTTCCCTGCAGCCTCTGGGTGCCGGCACAGCACAGAGACCCCTGAAACACCTCCTGCCTGCAGGACCCCCAGCTGGTGCCACCTTGAGCACAGGCTGCACCACCCGCCTCATTACCCACCTCAGACCCAGCCCTGGTACTCTGGAGCCACAGGGAGGGCACAGACCCAGCCATCTGCTCCAACCTCTCCTTTAACCAGCGGCCGTGTCCGACCTGAAGTAACCAGACACAAACACGCCGAGACAACGAGAGAAGAGCTTTCCAATGCCAGGGCTGAAGCCATGTGCAGGCTGGCAGGAGAAAGAGCCGGGCTGTGGCGGAGCCAGGGAAGCACCAGAAGGTGCTGGGAGGGAGCAAGGCAGATACATCTTCATCCCATGGGAACTGTCACCGGCTGCTGGAGCAGCGAGCAGGTGCCCGCCCTCGAGGGGCAGATGGCACAGCACGAGAGCTGGAGAAGTTAATCAGCAGCACAAAAGCAAGCAGAAAGGTGCAGGAAGGTTGTGAAGATTTGCCAGAGCACTGGACAGTAAATCCCAGAGGAATGTGAGATGTGAGGAGGGATCAGATCCTGTGCTCTGAGGCAGTGTATGGGCAAGAGGGTGTTTGGAGTCACCAGGAAGGTCCTGACTCGATGGGCATATCATGGAATGCTTTCCATGAAGAAATTCCTCCTGAAATCCTCTCCTCATGCTGCAAAAGGGGACAAACTACAAGCAAAACTGAAATGTAGCTACACTGGCCTGTTACCTTCCAAGAGCAACTCTGATATTCATTAATGCATCCTGATTAGATGACCTTTAACAGGATCATGCAAAGAAGGTCATTTTAATGATTATTTTGTCTACAATTTAAATAATTATGCATTCTACTAATAGCTCTGGCTATAATTAGGTTTGCCAACTGGAATACATTACACATGCCTGACTTTAGCTCCTGGAGACCTCGCTGTGGGTCAGAGTGGTCTTGGCAGCTCTGCCTCCTGCCAAGAGGAGACACAGGAGTGCCAGAGCTGGGAATGAGGAACAGCAGAACTGGACAGGGGAGGCAGGGATTTGGGCTGCCAGCCCCTCTGAAGCACCTCACCAGTTCTCACTTGGGGAATGCTGGGGAGAGACCACAGCCTGGCAGCTCCTTAATGTGGAACAGAAGTCCTGCCCTGGTCAGTGTCGCATGAATGCAGCCTGATGTCTGCAGCACCAACATCTGCAGCTACAGCCTCATTCTCTGCTGCAAGAAGCAATTAATCTTTCATCTTTTTTCTACTTAGAGGCCCTATCATGTGTAATTAGTCCTCTCTCCTAGATGCAAGGCTCCTACTCAGCAGGCTTGGCAAGGTTAAACACACAACCACGCTCCCGCTCTCTACAAGGAGGTTCAAACACAACCAGATCAAAAAGAAACACCCCAAAGCCTGTCCAGTCAACACTAGACAAACTCTGACATTTCAGTGGTCTCCAGGGATTCTGCTCTGCTCCCCAAGTGTGAAACACCAGCTCACCCCAGGTCACCTCTGCATGCACCAGCCTGCATCCCCCACAGCACTTCAGCACATCCTGAACTTCAGACTGAGGAGTTTTATTTCAGTAATTAGAATTACACAGGTGTTTAAATGTTCAGATAGACCATAAGCACTGTACAGGGACAAAAGGGTTTTCTCCTTGATTCTCCTTGATTCTATGAAGACACAGAGATCCAGGAGCAAAGTTAGAAGATATTCTTTTAACATATTTTTTCCCTGGGCTCCAGGACCAGGCCAGAGGAAAGAGCAACTCTGGGCTGCAAACCAGCAGGCAGCTGGCACCAGGAGCCCCAGTAGCCCTGCACTGCTGAGCTGTGGGTGCCAGTTCACTGCACAGTTCCCTTCCCTCTCCAGCTCAGCACAACCACGGGGTCCACTGTGAGGATGAACCCACTGTGAGGTTTAACACATGCAATAAATTAAGCTCCTTATTTCTGCTGGATTCTTTGGAGATTCATATCTGGGGAAAAGTTACCAGCTTGAGGCACCAACTGAAAAAACACATCACTGTAACCAGCACGGCCTGATGGCACCAGATCTGACACAGCACAGGTGCCTCTGGATTCACATCATGGTTATCAGCAACCACGGGGCACGGGGAAAGTCCAGCTTTCCATCAGTTCAAAGCAAAGCCCCTGGCTCATTCTAAAGCTGACAGGGCATTGCTGTGTGCTGTAGTTCTCCCTCTCCTGATTCAAAGCTCCTTAAGGATTATATGATTATGTAATTATAAATATCATATATTATAAATATAATGATATTGCTGTAAGAGCATGACTGACTGTGCAGAGGAAGGAATTTTGTCCTGCATTCAACCCCCAGTGACAGAGGGGCAAGGGTACAGACCAGAGGGGCTCTGGGGGACTTTGCTAAATAGCAAAAAAAAAAAAAAAAAAAGCTGTGAAAGCACCATTTTCTCCCTGCTTTAGTCCCAAGCACCTGCATCCCTCTTCATTTTCACAAATTATGTAATAAGAGATTCACTAACAGCACTGGGCAGCTGTTACCTGTCTGAGGGCTGTGCCATGGTGGCAATGCTCATCCAGGGCTAACATCAAGCAACAGGGAACGTGACCAAGGGCCTTTACACCTGCCCTGGTATTGTGGGGCCTCTTAAAATGTGACAACTTGGATTTAAATTAGACCATTCCCTTCCCAGGCAGAGGCTGCCCACAGTCATCCAGAGCTGCTGGAGAGACCAGCTGGGACCTGGCTGCCCAAGGGCTCCTCCTGCTCCTTGCGTGCTCAGCCTGGGCAGGGCTGCTGGGGAGGGACAGCAAAGCATCGTGTTCCCCATCAGCCACAGCTCCACAGGGACAGGAGGAGCATCCCCGTCCTGCTGCCC